CAGAAATGTATCTGCTCACACTTCTGGAGACTGGAGATCCAAAATGAAGGGGTCAGCATGGCCGTGTTCTCTCTGCAGTTTCTAGGGGAGGCTCCTTCCTCCCCTCTTCCAGCTTCTGGTGGTTGCTGGCAATTCTCGGCTGGCGGCCGCATCCCCCTAACCTCTGTCTCCCCCGTCACAGAGTCCTCCCTGTGCACGTCTTCACATGGCCTTCTCGTAAGGACGCCAAGTCATTGGGGTGAAGGTCCGCCCTACATCCAGGATGACCTCCTCTCCAGATCCTTAATTCTGTCTGTCAAGACCTAATTTTCAAATAAGACCCCACTCACAGGTTCCAAGGACTTCTGGATATTTTGTGAGACACAAATTGTGTCTGAGAGACACAATTCAAGCCACAAAAGGTAAGGACAAGGTCTGCACGTTTGAGAAGCAGAAAGTGGCCAGTGTGGCCGTGGTTGAGCGGGTGGGGACCCGTGGTCAGTGGTCAGACTCACAGGACCTGGAGGCTGGTCAGGAAATGAACTCCCTTTTCAAACCAGCCTTTTGATCCTCCGCATATGCGACAGGGGCATCTGCCCACAGCATAGCTAAAACGTAAGAAAAGAAAGGACAGCGATTCTGGTCTTACCCCCCAGACCACCCTGTCTCAGGCCTCCAGGCCAGGTTCAACAGGCCCTGGAATTTGGAGGCACCCAAGCCCGGGATAAGACCCCCTCGGGCTTGTCTTCTTAGAATGGGTTCAGTTTTTCCCCAGCCACAGCCTGTTTGATGAACAAGTTGTGATTTCCGTGTGCTTCCAGGTGAATCTATATGGTTCGCTGCCAAAACCAAGAAGGGCCCCCACATCGCCAATGTTGGGCTCCCAGCAGGGCCAAGAGGCGGTGGGGGGTGGGAGGAGCTGAGGGGGGAGGCTCAGCTGCCACCTGTCACAGGTAAGCCACCTGAGGTCCGCACAGGTGTGGCTCGCCCCTGGTCTCCTGTCTCAAGTTACGACGGCCTCGTGTATCCCTCAAGTTTCCTCTGCAGGTGCCTGGAAATAGGGGGCTCCTTTTCTGGAGAAGGGGGTTCTGGGGTGATGGGCGGTGAACGGCTGGGGCCACACGGAAGGCATCAGGCGGAGACATACAGGATAGCAGTCTCCGGCACCTCCCTTGATGCTGTTATTTCCTGACCACAGGGAATGGCCGCAGGTGAGCAGGATCAAGAGGAGCCCAGCTTGAACTTGGCCTTGGTCTCTACTCTGTGATCTTGAGCTAGTGTTTCCTTCTTTGGGGGCCTCAGTTTCCCAGTGTGGCAATGGATAGGAAGACAGTTGCCCGGAACTTCTGTACCCCTATACAAACTAAGATCTACTGCCTCTAAGGCTTTCTAAGTACTGGCACATTTTCTAAAAACCCTGTGGGTGATTTATAAATGACAAAGGGAAAACCTTTACGGAGGGGAAGCCTGGCAGACAGCCCTTACCCTGCTGATGACCGTTCCCGTCACCCGCTTTGCAACGGATTGACAGCATGGCCCAAATTCTGTCGTGGGGGAATGTAGAGAAACCTGCAGCCTTTGAAACCATCAGGGGCATGAAAGGGGAAGAAAGGCTGTTGAAATCTTACAGCTTAAAGGAGGCTAAAGAGTCACGATAAGGAATTGCAATGTGTAATCTTGGGCTGAATCACCGACCAGGAAAAAAAAAATGAAATTTGAATACGCATAATTAGAGAAAAAGTGTGATATCAATACTGAACGTCCTGAATTTGATGATTGCACTGTGGGTATGTATCGGATATAGGGGGAGAGTTTCTGGGGGAAGGGTCATGATGATCACAAATGGTTTTGTAATAACAATTATACATATAAGAGAGAGACGTAAGTCAAATGAGGTGAATGTTAATACTCAGTGAGCCTGGCGAGGATACGTGGCTGCTGACTGCACTATTTCCATAAAACGTAGTTGAAATTATACTGAAAATATACATTCAGGTATTCCCAAACGCTGCTTTTTCTACACACGATCATATTTATTTTCACTTCACATGGGGTGCTACCATTACCCAATTTTATAGAAAAGAAAACAGGCTCAGCGATCAGCACTTTGCTGGGGACCACCTAGCCAGTATGTGGCAAGCCGGGGTCTGAGCCCGGGGCCACCCTCTGGCTGAGTCTGGTGGGTTTGCCTCCTTCTCTGTAGCACCACGCTCAACCCTGCAGGGCCCGGCCGTGATCTTCCTTGCCTGGAGACTTCTATGCGGAACAGAATTCGCTGTTCCATGCTGTTCCCTCCGCTAGAAAGCACTCTCCCCTCCCCACTCCCTCTCACACCCTTCAAGTCACCTCCAGGAGGTCCCCTGGGGACCACTCCTTAATTCTCAGAATGCTCACTGAGCTTGAAATTCGTTGTCTAATGTGGGTCCCCGGAAGAGCACAGGGACGGCACTTGTCTCATTAACTGCCGTAGCCCCAGTACCTAAACAAGAGCCACTCAGATTCTGTTGATGTTAAATCAACAGGTGTCCGCATCCCCAGAAAAGCAGCTGTTGGAAGAAGCAGAGGAAGACTTGGAACAGAAATAAGAAGCTGGGGGAGGGGGAGACTGAGGACCTCCGAGCAAAGCATGGACTTGAGTTAGTAACAATGTATCAGTATTGATTCAACTGTCACCATGGTGATGCTAACCGCCAGGGAACTGTTTTCTGTAAATCTAAGGTGCTTCTATAATTAAGAGTTTCTTAGATCTTTTTAAGGATATTTGAAAAGCAAAAGGATTTGAGAGTTTGGTATTTATAGATGTGGAATAATCGCGAAGGTGTATTTGAAGGGGCAGAAAGCAAGGTGAAGAAAAGGAAAGGCTCTCTGCCCGCACTTGCTTCCACATAGCACCACTATGGTCCGTTTGTCACGACTGAACTAGTGTCAATACAATATTATTAACTAACGTGCGTGCTTTGTTGGGACGTCCTCAGCCTTTCTCTTTTTCTGTCCCCGGATCCCATATTACCTTTAGTTGTCCTGTCTCCTCAGGCTCCTCCTGGCTGGGATGGTTTCTCAGACTTCTGTGCTCTTGATGACCTTGTCAGTTTTGAGGAGTCCTGATCAGGGATTTTTGGGGATGTCTCCCACTTGGGGGTTATCTGATGTCTTCTCATAATTAGACTCTTCACGTGGATGAAATCAAGACTCCAATTTCCGCTCCTCTCCCTATGCTGCTTCTACCAAACCCTTCCAAGTCCTTCCCACGGACTTTTCCTCCTGGGAAGGTAACTTCCTCACGATCCAGACACAACTTCCCACAGTCCCCAGTAGACTGGTGAAGGCAGCTTCAGGTAGAGCTGGCTTAGACCTGTGTGATTGTTTGCGAATCCCTGGGTATGATCAGAGAGGCCAGTCTGGTGGGGCCCAGGTGCCCCTGGATTATATTTGCCGGGAAAGAAAGGGAGACAGACAAACTGGCAAGGAAGGAGAGCAGGAAGATTAATAATAATGTTACAGCGCGGCTGTTTATTAAATGCACAAGGATATACAATAGAAGCCAGGAGCGGTCCCTCCGTCCTGGACATGTGGTGGCCATATTTTCCTGGCCAGGCATCGGGACACACAGATTGGCAAGGAACATTCCATTTCTTTTAATACCTTTGAAAGGCGTTCTGATTTGTGAATTTCTTTAGGGAAGGCTACGTTTAGTTGCACATTTTAATAAAGGCAGTTCATGAAAATAAGAAAATAAAAGTACATGAAGCCAGGCTGGCGGAGCTGCCCGCACTTGCCCCCTCATAAAAGGCTGCCTTATAAAGCCTGCTCCAGCCCCTCCTGACCAGGGTCTCCGTGTGCAGAAACAACCCCCTAACTGTCATTTAATTAAAGAGCACTTTCATGAATATCAATATCTATTGAATAAACGAATGACATCAAAACACAGTGACCCCTTACATCATCCACTCCAGGCGTGCGAGGGTACATTTTTACATGTGTATGCGTGCTTTCCTCACACAGACTGCAAGAGGCGGAGAGGATGAAATTCGATCTTCCAAGTAACCGTCTACACAAACCAAAAAATCCTCATGTAGGGGGTTGAATGGTGTCCCCCAAAGAGATACACTCCCATGCCCTTAAACCCTGGAAGATACCAATGTGACCTTAGTTGGAAAAGGGTCCTTGCAGATAGAAAGTTAAGGATCCTGAGATGAGGTCATCCTGGATTTGAGATGGGCTCTAAGCCCAGTGAGAGAAAGGAGAGGGGAGTGGATATGACGCAGAGGCACAGGGGAGAAGGCATGGTCAGCAGGAGGCAGGGGCAACCTGGGGCCGCCGGGAAGGGTCTTGCCCTAGAGACTACCAGGAGGGTGCAGCCCTGCCCACACCTTGCTTTAGGGTTTCTTGCCTCCAGAACTGTGAAGAAATACATTTCTGTTAAGTCACTAAATTTCTGGTAATGTTACAACACCTGTAGGAAACCAGTAAGCCTCAAAATCCTAGCTATTAAGACTACTTAATACTATTTAATATGCAACAGCTCTGGGACTTTGAGCAGCTGCCTTAATCTGGTTCCAATTGACCCGTCCGCAAAACAGAGGTGTTTATTTCCAATGGACACATTCTAATATTTACAAGCGATGCTCACATAGGTTCATGTGCCTGGCAGTCTTTCTGGCCCTCAGTTTCCCCATCTCCGAAGGGGAAGCAAGCATCCCTAATCCTTACCCCGCCCCCCTTCTTGGAGCTGTTTTAGGATTCGATATAAAAGTAAATGCAGAAAGAGGCGAAAACGATTTCAGAGCGGTCCTCCGCCCTCAAACACGCAGACCCCAGCCAACCAGCGCCCCCTGCCGCCTGCGCTGCTTCAGTGGTTTCTTCCACGGCGGCCAAACAGCCTGCGCCTGCGCAGAATGCAAACGCTCAGGCCCGCCCCTTGAGGGGTGTGACTTCCTTGGGTCGCTCCGGTTCGGCCACGCCTGCTTCCGGAGAGGGCGGGCTTACGTCTGAAACACGTGATCTTGTTCCGGCTCGCCAAAGATGGCGGCCCCCAGAGCTGCAGCGTGAAAGTTGTGGGTGAGAGACGCAGTCCACCCGCGCTGGAATCGAAACCGTGGGGACCGTGCGCCATGTCGCGACTGATCGTGAAGAACCTCCCGAATGGGGTGAGTGCAGGGCCTGGGCTTGAGACTCTGAAATTGGGGCCAGCCAGGAGTTGGGGGCTAGGAAGGAGGTGGCTGGAGAGAATTGAGGGGCTTCGGCCCTGGGGCAGGACTCAGGACGTGTTCGAAATCCACAAGGGGCAGGATCCGTGGCAGATCCCCATTGGGCAGTTGGCAGAGGGGGATCGCGAGCGCTCGAGGTTCCCCAGCTCCGAGGGTACCTGCCTTCCATCCCGACAACTTTTCCTGGGGACGTGGCCAACACCCCACGTGTGCCGAATGCTCTCCCACAGCCCCTCTGGTCCGATCACGTTTTTTTTTGTTGACTTGTTGACTGGGTCGGATCCTGACTCGTGTTCGTCTCCCACCCGGGAAGCTGTTGGCGAGGCACATGGGGAGTATTAGGTTGAGGACGTGCGTTACAATCCCGACTCCCGCCTTTAGGGCCCGTGGGCGTAATGTAAGCAAACCGAGTGCGTGTGAAGGGCTTTAAACCGTGTCTCCGATAAGTAGGGAGGGGTGAGTCGGTCGTACTTGCCACTCTTTCAAGAGCCCAGCACAGAACCTGGCACGTAGTAGGCATTCGAGTGAAGAGACAGCTAGCTTGGAAGCACGGGAAGTCAGATGACTGGAGGCAGTGCCCCTGGTGTGCATCCTTACCTATTCTACTATTTTTGTTGGGCTGAAGGGCTCCCACACCACTGGCGCCGGTAAGCTGGTTCCCAAAATACAAAATGTGCCCTTCGGGTGGGATGAGGGAGCTTCTGTACTCTTAGCTCTGACTCCTCAGGAACTTCTCACTTTAGAAGGAGTGACACACAAAGCCATTACTGCTTTATTGTGAGTGTGTGTGTGTGTGTGTGTGTGACTCCCCCCCCCCCCAGCGGTTGTGGGGGGACCCATGACAGGATTTTAAGAATTCAAACAGTACAAATTAAAAGAGAAGAATTCAAACAGTACAACGCTGTATGAAATGAAAAGCAAAATCTTTTGCTCCGTCCTACCTCTGTTTTTCTCTGCAGGAGGAACTGCCTTCAATGGTTTGTTTTTAGGACGCCTCGTTGGTAGTTCTTCATGCCCAAATAGTGTGCTCTCTCCCCCATTTTGTGGTCTATTTACCTCAGTGACTATCTGCTGGTGCTCCTCTAAGCGAGATGAGGAATCTCGATCATCTATTCTTCCCTTCCAGTCTGTTATATTATTATTTTTAATTCTTGCGTTATTTACCCTAAAGAGTAAACCTTCAGAATACATATTGATCCATACATCTGCTTTAGGCAGTGTCTCTTGGTGCCTTGCTTTGATGGATGAACTTAGCATGGCTACCCTTTCTTCCCTCCCAACTTCCATCTCACTGAGCTTCTTCTCCCATTGGACTGGCCCTCTTACCATTGCTTGTCTTGTCTGATGAGTGAAAGAATTCACAAACAAAAAATAGTAGTAGCAGCTAACATTTGCGGAGCTTACTGAATCCCAGGCGCTGTATCAGTTGCTTTTGGTAAAGTAACTCATTTATTCCTCAGCAGAACCCGACAAGGTCAGTTCCATTATTACGCCCATTTTAAAGGTGAAGAAACTGAACTACAGCAAAGGAGGGTGATTTGCGTGAGTTCGCACACCACCGGTAATTCAGAGAGCCGGGATTGAATTGAGCAGTCTGCTTCTAGAATGTTCATTCCTATATCATACTGTCTTTCGTTGCGCGACTGCGTGCACTTTTCTTAATGCTTTTCCCACACGTATGTGGTAGTGAGTGCTCGTCATGTTGCTGACACTGGATAGTGGGAGATAAAATCCAGTCCCCGCCTTTATAGCACGAGGAGATCAGGGGCCCAATCACTGTGACATGAGGTGCAGGGATTGAAGTATGACCCCGTACTGGTGAGCACGGATGGCTTGGTTACCTGAGCCACTTGAGGAGTGTGGGAGACGCCTCCTGGGGGAGCTGACTGTATTGGGAACGAGGAGTTAGCCAGGGCCTGCTGGGGATGCTGCACCCATGGGAAATGCCCAGGAATATCGCAGAGGGGAGAGTCAGGGAAGGCTGCGAGGAGTTTGGCAAGAGGTGGGGCCGAAGGGGTGGGTCAGGCCACATCATGGAGAATGTCGTGTTTTACCTTAGCTCCTTCTTCGTGAGCCTTCGGTGTCAGAAAGTCGCCAAGGGGCTTTTGACAGGAACAGTGTGGACTTGAGTGTGGCTGCTCCCAGGTAATGGGGGAGATGATTCACTGCCTCTTATGTATCTGAGCTGAGTCACAGACCTTGTGTACACCTTGTGTAGACCATTGACCTCTGTGAGCTTCATGTCTCCTCTATAAAATGTGGATAATAATCCCTAATGCATAGGGTGTTAGGATTTTAATGCTTAGAGCTACTACGAACCTGCCTCGGAAAATGTGTTTCTCCTTACTGGGTTGCCAAGGTCTCCAGTTTTTTAATGTTAGTCCTTGTTTTGGCTATTAGTGGGGTTCTTGGTGTCCTCATTAACACACACACACACACACACACACACACACACACACACACACACCCTCCCAGTCACTGCTTAAAAATCTCACCGAGTTGAGTGGGTCGTCTGGCTGGAGTGAGGACGGGGCCAGAAGCCAGTTTCCATAGCGTGGGGCCCCTTGATCAAATCGTAAGAACGTTAACGAATTGGTTTTCTATTGTTCCTGTAAGAAATTACCACAAACTTAGTGGCTTAAACAGTACACGTTAATAACCTTACAGTTTTGGAGAGCTGAACACCTTTTATTCTTTTAAATTGCATTCTTAGTTATTTTTGAGAGAGTGTGCACATGTGGGCGAGGGGCAGAGATAGAGGGAGAGAGTGAGAATCCCAAGCAGGAGTCACAGCATCAGCAGGGAGCCCGACGCGGGGCTCGAACCCACGAAACGTTGAGATCATGGCCTGAGCCACAGTCGGACACATAACCGACTGAGTCCCCCAGGTGCCGAGATCCTAACATCAGGGTGTTGGTGGGGCTGCATTCCTGTTAGAGACCCTAGGGGAGAATTAGTTTCCTGGCCGTTTTTGAGCTTCTCCAGGCTGCCTGCTGTCCTGGGCCCTGGGCCGGCCCCGGAGCGGTCAAAGCCAACGGCGTGGCGTCTTGCAGTCTCTTTCTGTCTACGACATCCCATCACTTCTTCCAGCTCCAACCCCCCATCTCCTGGGACACGGACATCAGATCTGCCCACATACTCCAGGACCCTTAATGTAGTCCCCGCTGCGGAAAGGCCTTTGCCGTGTACAGTCACACACTCATGTGGCCCAGGGATTCGGATGTGGGCATCTTTTGGGGGACTGACTCCATTATTCCGTCGGCCACAGTGAGCGAGCAGACACATGTAACCTACCGTGTTCATTTGTCCGCGCACTTATTCTGCAGGTCTGTGCCGGGCTCGGCGTGGAGCGGCCACAGTGCCGGCCTCCCGATGAGCTCGCGCCCCTCCTGGCAGCTGGGACGATTTCCTTGCAGCCACTTTCCGTCTTGAGTTCCTCATTGGCGCAGCGGGCGAGCGAGTCACTGGTCCAGCCGGGTCCCAGTGCGGGGCACACCCTGCCCCTGGCCTCTGTGTGTTCACCCTCAGGGAGTCCCAGGGCCTCAGCTTGTCGTCCCCTGGGCTCTGAGCACCCCCCCCGCCCCTCCCTCATGGTGCCCCTTCTGTCCCAGATGAAGGAGGAGCGTTTCAGGCAGCTGTTTGCCTCCTTTGGCGCCCTGACCGACTGCAGCCTGAAGTTCACCAAGGACGGCAAGTTCCGGAAGTTTGGCTTCATCGGCTTCAGGTCGGAGGAGGAGGCCCGGTCGGCACTGAACCACTTCCACAGGAGTTTTATTGACACGTCCCGGATCACAGTGAGTCACTTCTGCCCGCCCGGCGAAACTGACCCCACCTGATCCTCCCTGCTCCGCTCCAGCCCAGGGCCTGGCTGCTTTCAGACCATGTTGTCCCTGGTCCACCCCACCGGCTCTCAGACTTCCAGAACCTTCCACGTGTACGAATCCCCCACAGTTTCTGCCTCAGTGCGGGGACAGGGTGGGACCCAAGGGTGCGCGTGTCTAAAAGCTCACAGATGCTGCCGGTGCTGCTGCCCCAAAAGCACTTTGACAGGCTCTGTTCCACATCCGCACTCACTGGATTTAGAGAAATGTGGCACCTGTGGCCCCATCCTCTTTCAGTCGGTGTCATCAGTGCTGTGACGGGGAAGCACCAGGGACCCTGGAGAGTGGAGGGAAAGGCCAGGAGAGCTTCCCGGAGGAGTAGGTCCTGCCCGTGTCACTTATGTACATTTAATCAGTTGGTGACACATCCTTAACGCTTTGGTGAGAAGGGAAAACCGGATGTTGGACAGTCATGTGTCACGTGATCCCATTCACACCAAATCATAATTTTTAGTCTGTATGTGTGTGATGTGTAGGGAGAGCTGTGCCGATGGATTTTAATTTCTCTGTGATAGGAATTAGGGTAAAAACAGGTTTTTGGGGTTTTTTTTCCACTTGTATCTTCCTCTGTTGATTTAAGTTTTATACATTGAGCACGTGTCATTGCTACGGAAACAGCAGAACTATTTTTGAAACTCCGTACGAAGGGGTGGGGCAGACAGGCAACCTGTCCCCTGGAGGCAGAGGTGGCTGCCTGGCACTCATGAGTGTGGCAGAAAGTGTGGCTCTCAGCGCGGCCGTCTCAGGAGTGTGCTGAGGGCCGGTGTCATCCCAGGCTTGATACGAGCACTTCCGGGCTCCCGAGTGGTCGCTCCCCCATCTCATCGCCCCAGAGCCATCCTCTGAGGCCAGCCGAGCCCTCAGCATGTGTAATTACCCCACAGTAATTACAGTGATCCGGAAGGCCGTCAGCTTAGCCTGGACACCATGTGTCAGCTACCCCGGGGGCCGGATGGCTGAGAACTCGGCTCCAGAGCCGACCCCTGTGCCATTAAAAATCTGTGCATAACTTTTCACCTCCCCAAAATCTGACTACTCATAGCCCACCATTGACTGGGACCCCTCCTGATAACAGTTAACCCGTATTTTGTACGTTGTATGTAACCTACAATAAAATAGGCTAAAAAGCCCCAACACGTTAGGGAAACACGAGAGAAAAGACATTCATGGTGCTGTGCAGTATTTAGCAAAAAAAGAAATCTGCGTACACAGGGACCCGCCCGGTTCCAACTCGCACTGTCCCAGGGCAGCTGTGGTCCCCGCCGGCCCTCGGTTTGTCGTCCCCAAAGTCATCACAGTCGCTGCACTTACCCACAAGTGCACGCGCCCGGCAGTCACCCTGGGCCTCCGCACCAGCAGGTGGGAGTGAGCACTGTCCTCCCACTTCGCGGATCGGAAAGGTTAGGCAGTTGCGACCTTCGACCTGGGTGGCCGGGGCAGGAGTGGAGACGGGCACTTGGGGGTTGTTGTTCAGGGGTCAGTTGCGATTTCCTTCAGCCAACTCAGCCAGCAAGCGACAGCCCCTTCTGGGAAAAGGCCCGGCTCCCAGGTGCTGGAGGGGGGCGCCCGTGCTGGGCAGGGGGCAGTGTCCCCATTACCCACTGTCCCCCACGCAGGTGGAGTTCTGCAAGGCGTTTGGGGACCCGAACAAGCCCCGAGCCTGGAGCAAACATGCTCAGAGAACAAGCCAGCCTAAGAACCCTTCGAAGGACAGAGACTCCGTCCCCACAGAACCTAAGAAAGTGCGTACAAGGTCGCGCCCGCCCTCCACCCCGGTGTCAGCGAGGGGTGGGCTGGGCAGTGGGAGCAGGAATGGCCAGACGCCCCCTGGCAGGTGGTTCCTGAAGGCGGGTGCTCCCCGGGCAACGCGTTCCATCCTCCCTTCATCCGTGACCTTCTCCGTCTGTGCCTTGTTTCCAGGACAACAAGACGAGAAAGGTGGCAGGTGAGCTGGAGAAGGTGAGTGTCCTGCTGACCTTGAGCGTGGGTCCCCGGCGCGGCGCCGGGAGGGCTGCGCAGGCCCCGGGGGGGGGGGGAGGTGGCCCGGCACGGCGGAGGCGGGCCGTGTCTTCCCTTGCTGTACGTCTGTGGCTCCGTAGCCGTCTAGTGTGAGGAAGAGTACCCGCGGGTGACCCCAGGTCCTCCAGAGGCGGGGACGTGAGCTCAGGGATGCCCTTGGCGTCCGGGGAGGCAGGCGGGCGCCCCAGCTGAGCCTTCTCCGCCTCTTCCCCTGTGTCCCCGGCTCCGGTGCCACCAGCTGAAGGAAGACACCGAGTTCCAGGAGTTCCTGTCGGTTCATCAGAAGCGAACGCAGACGGCCACTTGGGCGAACGACGCCCTGGACGCCGAGCCCCCGAAAGGGAAGGGGGGGCCTGCCAGCGACTACCTGAACTTTGACTCCGACTCGGGGCAGGAGAGTGACGAGGAGGGGGCGAGGGAGGACCCAGAAGGTAAGGGCACCCCCCGCACCCCCTCCCTGCGGGTACGCGCCCATCCTCAGCAGGGGGCCATGGCGTCACGTGGGGGCGGAGGGAGTGGGAGCACTCGCAACCCGGGGTGGCAGCTGCCATGGTTGTGGGTCGGGCGGCGATTTCGCTTTAAGATGGGAGAATGAATTGCATGCGAATTTTACGCCTGGTAAAGCTTCTGGCAGAACTGGAGTCCGGAGGACTCTGGGAGTTGGTGGGACACGGCAGGGGGGGCGCAGGAAGGGGGTCGCCGGCTGAGGGAGGAGCGTGGCCAGGGCACGGGGCAGAGGGAAGCGCGGGATCTCGAGGGGGCCCCACGTGGTTCGGGGCGGCTGCAGGCGAGGAGCTGGGGCCGGGGTCCCGGAGGCGGCCGGAGACCGCCGCGGGGTCTGAGGCCGGAGTGACGGTCCTGTCTGCACGCTGAAAAAAATGGCAGTCGCAGTTGAAAGGGCAGGGCTGGCCCCCGGGAGCCGCGGGCTGTCCACCAGCCGTGGCCCATGAGGCATCCGAACTCCCCACGTGTCACCCTGGCTAACGTCACGTGTCAGGACCCGCTGGGGGCGCTGCCATACCCTCTGCCGCCCCTGGCCTCTGCCCTGCTCACTGCCGTCGCCGCCTCCCCGCCTCCCCGCTTCCCCTCGCAGAGGAGGATGGCCGCGAACCCAGGGCAGCCGTGCAGAGGGAGCTGTCGGACATGGATTACCTGAAATCCAAGATGGTGAAGTCCGACTCGCTGTCATCCGAGGAGGAGGAGGAGGAGGAGGAGAGTGAAGATGAAGCCGTCAGCTGCACGGCCGGGAGCGAGGCCGAGGAAGAGGCCGCCCAGCAAGACGGCCCTGAGCTGCGCGCGCCATCTGGGAACAAGCCACCAGGAGTGGCCAGAGCTGAGGTGTGTGCGTGAGGGCGCACAGTGCGCGAGGTGGGGGGGGGGGGGGCTCTGCCCTTGTCGTCGCGCATGCTCCCTGCGGCCCCTGTGCTGGCGGCGTGCATCGTAAGGGAAGGACCGCTCTGTGGCTCGGCCCTGCCGCTTGCCGTGGGACACAGAGCAGCCACTTCTCCCCTTGAGTTTATTCTCTGCGGCACCACGGAGAGGTCGCCTGAGGGGTGTTAATGAGCCGGATGAGGGGTGGGAGCGGATGATACCATTTAGGAGCAAGGTAGGTGGATGTGAGCCCATAGTCGACAACAGCGATGGGATTCATGGAGCGCTTGCTACGCGCTGGGTACAATGTGTGCTTTGTCATCTGTCAGCGACCCTTAGGACAGCCTTCCCGGAGGTGGGGGCGTGCAGGGGTTCTTGTCCCGTGTTTTAGGTGAGGAAACAGGCCCAGAGGAGGGAAGCAGCTTGTCCAAGGTCACAGCTGGGAAGTCGTGGGGTCAGGACTCAGGTCCAGGGCTGCTGGGCTCTGAAGTCTGCGTTATAGACGTGGGTGCAGCCTTCAGGAACGGCCGCCTTGCCCCCCACCGGGGCGTCCTCTCTGCTTAGGAACCTGCCAGGCCGTGCTTGGGCCCCATGCCCTCCCTGTACCCCACCCAGGCCCCGTCAAGGCCCCACATGTCTTGTCTCTTTCCTCTTTCCGTATCCCCCTCCCTTCCTCATTTTTTGCCCCTTCCAGTCGCACGCTCTGTCCTTTTCTCCTAAAAATGTGTCTTCTGGACAGTCCGTCAAGTACAGAGACGTCCGAGAGCTGCGGGCTCAGATCCCAGCCCCGACACAGGAGCCGTGGGACCCGGGGTGAGGGTGAGGTGCTTCTGGCTCTGGTCCCTGTCTAAGCAACGGCCTCCATGTCCGGTTTCCAAAGCCCCTGTGCCTGAGCCCGTGCAGGCACTCAAAGCGCCAGAGTTCGGGGCGCTACCCTGCGCCCGTGCGGTGTCGCACCCGCAGTGGGTCCTGGGGCGAAACCCATTAAGCACCCGTTTCCGCCGTGAAACCAGACGCACCCACTCCTGCTCCAAGGGGTGAAGGTCGAGTGTACACGGCATCGCGTCAGCTCAGAGCAGATTTTCCTGGCACGTGACTTCGAGTCAGGCCAGGCTTTATTGCCCAAGAAATTAGAAGAGAAAATTTACATTTTTCAGAGCCGTTTGGGTTCCGGAATTACAAGCAAGGTCCTGAACCCATAATCCTCTAAGGTTGTTCTGAAGATTCAGTAGGACGGCAGCGTCTGCCAAGTCCCTTGGACAGTGTCAGCCACGGAGTGAGCCCTGAGCCACCGGTAGCGAATGTCACCGTCCCTCCAGGCCCCATCGCGGGCTCTGTGTCCCCCGCCCCCGTAGCCTGTAGCCCCTGTTGGCACACCCTGCCCCCCACGGCAGGCACGATGCTTGTCTGCGCCCCCTGGCTCGGCCTGGCAGTACTCGCTGAGACGTCCGGATCTGCCGCCTCCGGCAGCCATAGCCGGGAGCTCACTGGCCGTCTCTGCTCTGTGCCATCGTTCAGGCAGGCGAGCCAGCAGCCCAGAAGGAGCCCACCACCCCCCACACCGTGAAGCTGCGGGGAGCCCCGTTCAGTGTCACGGAGGTAGGTGCCAACAGCGTGACGAGGGGAAGGAGCTCCTGGGAGAGCGGGGGTGGGGGGGTGGGCGGGCGGTGAGGACGCTCTGCTGCACGGGGGCTTTGGGGTACTTGAGGACTTGAACTGGAAGGAATTGCGGTCAGAAGGGCTAAGGAAGACCTCGGGCATAGTCAGGGTCAGGAGACAGAAATGGCTGTACAGAGACCGAGGAAGACCGATTTCACCCCCTGGTCCCGTATGCTGGGGTGGGAGACGTCTGGTAAAAATGTTTGAAAAAGACGAGCGGGTATGTACTCAGGGCTTTGTGATCCGTACGGTCTCTGTAGCGGCTGCCGGACACGATAGGTGTGCGAGTAGGCACGGCCGGGCGCCAAACCGTACTGACAAAGTCAGGCCGCCGGCCGTGTTAGGCCTGCATGCCGGAGCGAGCGGACTCTGGGTTTACACAGCAGAGAACTCTTTACGTTTCCTCCTTTGGGGAAGTAACAGGAGTTTAAAGTAGGAGATTTTTATTTTATTTTATTTTATTTATTTATCTAACTAGTTTATTGTCAAGTTGGTTTCCATGTAACACCCAGTGCTCATCCCCACAGGTGCCCTCCTCCATGCCCTTCACCGCCCTTCCCCTCCCCCACACCCTCATCTGCCCTCAGTTCTCAGCATTCAAGAGTCTCTCATGGTTTGCCTCCCTCCCTTTCCCCCACTATTTTCCCCCTTCTTCTCCCCCACGGTCCTCCATTAAGTTCCTCCTAATCCTCCTATATGTGCAAACATATGGTAGCTCTCCTTCTCTGCCTGACTTATTTCGCTCAGCATAACACCCTCATCAAGTTGCATCCATGTTGCTACACATGGCCAGATTTCATTCTTTCTCATTGCCATGTAGTATTCCATCGTATAGGTAAACCACATCTTCTTGATCCATTCATCTGTTGATGGACACTTAGGCTCTTTCCATGTTTTGGCTATTGTGGAGAGTGCTGCTGTGAACACTGAGGTCCATGTGCCCCTATGCATCAGCACTCCTGTTTCCCTTGGGTAAATTCCTAGCAGTGCTATTGCTGGGTCATAGGGGAGTTCTACTGTTAATTTCTGAGGAACCTCCACACTGTTTTCCCGAGGGGCTGCACCAGTTTATATTCCCACCAACGGTGTAGGAGGGAGCCCTTTTCTCCACATCCTCGCCAGCATCTAGAGTTCTCTGATTTGCTCATTTTAGCCACTCTGACCCGCATGAGGTGGTATCTTAGTGTGGTTTTGATTTGTATATCACTGATGAGGAGGGACGCTGAGCATCGTTTCATGTGTCTGTCGGCCATCTGGATGTCCTCTCCGGAGAAGTGTCTGTTCATGTCTTCTGCCCATTTCTTCACTGGATTGTTTGGTTTTTGGGTGTGGAGTTTGGTGAGTTCCTTACAGATTTTGGATACTAACCCTTTATCTGATATGTCCTTTGTAATTATCTTATCCCATTCTGTAGGTTGCCTATTAGTTTTATGGATTGTTTCCTTTGCCGTGCAGGAGCTTTTAATCTTGCTGAGGTCCCAATAGTTCCTTTTTGCTCTTGATTCCCTTGCCTTTGGGGATGTGTCAAGTAAGAAATTGCTGCGGTGGAGGTCAAGGAGGTTGTTTCGTGCTTTTTCCTCTAGGGTGTTGATGGTTTCTTTTCTCACGTTCAGGTCCTTTATCCATTTTGAGTTTATTTTTGTGTATGGTGTGAGAAAATGATCTAGTTTCATTCTTCTGCATGTTGCTGCCCAGGTCTCCCAGCACCATCTGTTAAAGAGGCTGTCTTTTTTCCATTGGATACTCTTTCCTGCTTTGTCAAAGTTTAGTTGGCCATATATTTTTGGGTCCAAATCTGAGTTGTCTATCCTATTCCATTGGTCTTTGTGTCTGTTTTTGTGCCAATACCATACTGTCTTGATGCTTACAGCTTTGTAGTAGAAGCTAAAGTCTGGGATGGTGATGCCTCCCGTTTTGGTTTTCTTCTCCAATATTACTTTGGCTATTCGGGGTTTTTGGTCATTCCATACAAATTTTCGGATAGTTTGTTCTAGTTTTGAGAAGTATACTGGTGCAATTTTGATTGGGATTGCATTGAACGTGTAGATTGCTTTGGGTAGTAATGACATTTTAACTATATTTATTCTTCCAATCCATGAGCATGGAATGTTTTTCCATTTCCATTCTTTGTGGGGGAGAATTTGATAATTTGCCATTTTTTAAAAAATGGAGGTAGTAACAGCAAAAATTCCCAACTTTATTGGACTTCCATTCATTTTGTCATGCCTTGATTTTAACGGTCGCTTGGACCTTTAAAAAGCTTCTCTAATGGGCTTAAGCCAGTACGCAGATGAGAATGGTTCCTTCTCTTTCATTTTTAATAAAAAGCCAACAAGAGTGAGCTGTGCATTGGAATTTGGGGCCATTTTTGTTTTCTTGTTTTGTACTTTTCGGATTTGCTGCTGTTGCATATATCTGTGTGCATCTTAAGAAAACGTGTTTGGGGCACCTGGCTCAGTTGGTTAAGTGTCCGACCTCGGCTCAGGTCATGATCTCAGCGATTTACGAGTTCGAACCCCACATCAGGCTCTGCTGACAGCTGGGAGCCTGGAGCCTGCTTCGGATTCTGTGTTGCCCTGTCTTGCTGACCCTCCCCCACTTGTTTTCTCCCTCCCCCTCCCCCGTCCCTCTCAAAAGTAAATGAAACATTAAAAAAGAAAAGAAAATGTGTTTGAATCACCCTTAGTCCAAAACAGAAAGAGTTCAGAAAATTGGGGACCATCTACAACAGCCCTTTAAATTTGTTGTTTCTTCAAGAAGTAACGGGGGCAAATATTCAAGCACTAATAGAAGTGACAAAAGCCACAGTTAATCCCAAATGTGTAAAAGGAGGAAAAAAAAACCGAGATCAGAAAGCATGCCTGAAAGTGCTGATTGGGACTAACGTTACTATTTTACAGATGTGTTTATGCTTTTCACTCCCAATTTCTTTTTTCCAAACCTTTTCTTTTTCTTTTTTATTTATTTATTTATTTATTTATTTATTTATTTATTTATTTATTTCTAGGAGAGAGAGAGAGACAGCGTGAGCAGGGGAGGGTCAGAGAGAAAGGGAGTCACAGACTGAAACAGGCTCCAGGCTCTGAACTGGCAGTCAGCACAGAGCCTGACGCGGGGCTGGAACCCACGAACCGCGAGATCATGACCTAAGCGAAAGTCGGACGCTTAACTGACTAAGCCACCCAGGTGCCCCATTTTCTAAACCTTTTCTAAGGTAGTTTTACAATGGAGAAAAGATACATGTTATTTAGAGGCAGAGAGAGGCTGAAGGGTGAGGCACTGTGGGGACCTCTCTGAATTCAGAAATTTGGTCCCTGTTTATGGGGTGACAACATCCGTTGCTGGGTGGAGAAACGAGGAAAAACTTCTCTTCTTGTAGAAAAACGTCATGGAATTCCTGGCCCCCCTGAAACCAGTGGCCATTCGCATCGTGAGAAACGTGCACGGGAACAAGACAGGTAAGGCCGGTGCTGGGGGGCGATGGGAGGAGGTAGGAGGCAGGCAGTATCGACGGAGGCCTGGGGCAGCTGCTGGATTTGCTATTTGCTTTGGGGTGGGGGGGAGCGGTGGGCGATGTGCTCAGGACCAGGGTCTGCCTCCCACGGCCTGCTCCTCTGCTCTCCCCTCCCACCTCAGCCCACAGTTGCGCTCGTGGACTCACCTGTGCTGTTTAAACAGATGTCCCAGGGCGCATGGGAGGCTCAGTCGGTGAAGCGGCCAACTTGGGCTCAGGTCATGATATCACGGTTCGTGGGCTCCAGCCCCGCGTCAGGCTTTGTGCCGACGCTCAGGTGCGGAGCCTGGAGCCTGCTTCGGATTCTGTGTCTCCCTCTCTCCCTGCCCCTCCCCACTCATGCTCGCTCTCTTTGTCTCTCAAAAATAAATAAACGTTAAAAAAAATTTTTTTTAAAAAGGGATTTGCTGGGCCGGGTCCACAGGCACACTGTTGAGTCACTGAGAGTGTGGGGCGCTGCCCCGGGGCTGCCCTATTCTGCGCCCCTTCCCACTCCTGCGGGCCGGCCGCGCTCTAGGCTTCAGAGGGGTGGGGGGCGTTCTGGAAGCAAGGGCCTGAGCTTGGAGAGCCTGCTTGCTGGCCAGGCCGCCAGGCTGCAGCATACGGAGGGACCGCGCCGAGGGCCTCCAACCCCGGGGCAGCCAGCCCTGGGCATGCAGGGCATCCCGGGCAAGAAGACGGGCATGGCAGAGGGCCCGGGAACTGTGGGACTGGCTTCTGGGGCCGAAGGGGCTCCTGCTTTGGGGGGTGGTCTCGTCATCTTTCCTCCCCCATCTCTGAGCACGGAGCCCTGCTCACCAGGCGGGTCCGCTCCACCAGCCAGCCCTCCCTCCTTGCACAGCTCTCCGGGTACCAGGGGGGACGTGGTGACGAGCATCCGCCCAGGCGCAGATCCCGGCTCGTCCACTCACTAGCCCTGTGACCGGGGGTGAGGGACTGTGCCTCGATTTCCCCATCTATGTAGTAGGGCGTCCTACCTCGTTAGGTTGTATTCACTCAGTGAGTTCGTACACACATGGCATCTAAACAATGCTGAACACTTACAGAAGGCTCCCCGAGAGCTGCTATTAACAGTGGTGGGGGTGGGGGTGGGGGTCTGCTTTCACGGCACTTCAGAGACCAGACGGTGAGCAGGGGGTGGCCAGAGGGAGCAGGGAGGACCGTGTTGGAGGTGTCAGGGCTGAGGGAAAACCACACTGGAGGCCCCGAGCTGGAGGGAGCAGCATGTGGCCATGACACTTTCAAGGAGTGGCAGAATGTCCCCTTAGAAGAGTTGGTGGGGACGTGGGACCTGGCCCCCAGACCTGGGCTTACTAGTGAGCGTGGACTTCAGCCCGGGTGTAGGTCCCTGCCAGTGGCTTAATGCAGGGGGAGGCCACAGTTGGATGCAGAACGGTCCCGTGGCTGGTGACACAAGGGTCGGAGGCAGGGCCCACGAAGGGCAGTGGGCCGGGGTGGGTCTTTGCAGTCTTCCCGGGGAGGATCAGCAGGGGGCTGGGCTGGGGTGTGGCCGAGGGGAGAGAAGCGGGGAAGTATGTTTATGGGGACAGATGAGGAGCCTTTGGGAACAGAGAGGAAGGAGGAGGAGAATCTTATCACATAGCCTTGTGACAGAGGCCTGGACCACGGGCTTTGGGTGGGGTTACAGCATTGCCACCCGTTAGGCGTGATTCTCTGCTGCCTCACAGGGTTGAGGCCCTGTGAGGCCTCCGTGCTCCAGGAAGGACTCCTGAGTCCTCGTGTGTACGCTAGGGCCTTGGGCACTCACAGACAGTGTCGAGATGGCCATGCTGGCGCCGAGCTGATCACAGCACTTCGGCTTCGGGCTCATCCCCCAAGAAGGCTGAGAGGCGGGCCCTGGTTCGGGTGGGGTGAGGCTGGAAGGGAGGTGAAGGCCTCCTGTGTTCTTGACTCCGTAGTCCCTCCAGGCCACCGGGTCTCCACACTCGCTCCCTGCAGAGAGAAGTTTGGCCTTGGGGGAGGAGGGGCTGGGAAAGTCCGCTGTTTTGGAGACTTGGCAGAAATCAAGAGTTTCCCCCCGCTTTCTGCTCAGATCCCCCCAGACACCTAGCACGGCACGGGCATTCCTGTGCAACCCCCACCTGTGTTTGCTCACTCTGTCTTTGTCCCTCAGGGTACATCTTCGTGGATTTCAGCAGCGAAGAGGAAGTGAGGCAAGCTCTCAAATGCAACAGGGAGTACATGGGTAAGGAAGCCCGCCTCCGCCTGCCTGCAGGGCTTGGCTTGCTCGCCTTCTGAGTGCTGTGGAGGGCGTGCTGGGTGCCGGATGCTGCTCTAGATGCTGGGGAGACCGCAGTGAGCAGAGTGGACCGGTCTCTGCCCTCCTGGAGGTTAAGAGAAAGCTGACGCGGAGCCGGCAGAGAGCGGCAGCCATCAGATGGGCTGGGATTAGAGGAGCTGCGTTTCAAAGTGGGACTGCATCCACTCAGGCAGAACCCAGAAGGGTAGGGGGCCCAGCTCTAGCTTTGCGGGCAGGCCGTTCCGTGGAGGGGGCAGCAAGCACGAGTTCCCACCGTCGGGGTGGTCACCCGAACAGTGTCTGCGGGTGCAGTATCTGATGCATCCCGGAGTGGACAGGTGATTCAGGGCCGGCCAGTGACCCTTCAGTGAAGACATGAGTGCTGTTAGGGAAGGTGGGAAAAGCCTGGGGAGTCATGTTAGGTCAGGCGGTAGGTATCTTTTGAGTGCTTACTGCGTGCACGTGGAGGGGATGGTCGGTGCTTAATAAGTGCACAGGGTGTTGCACGGAGACAGCTCAGCAGCGCGAGGTGGTCCTCCAGCATTGGCTGTCATGTGACGCCCCTGCCCAGGCAGAGCCACGGGCAATGCGGGGTCTGCCCTGTGCGGTGCAGGGGCCTGGGGTGGCGAGGCAGGCGCCCCCGGGGTTGAAGCCGGAGGGGTGAGATTCGCGGAGAGGGCCCTCCGGGTTCAGGCCCAGCACTGGCCCAGACCGCCACCCAGTAGGAGAGCCAGTGCCAGCGCTCGCGCCTCGGCCGTGGCACCGGGAAGACGGGGTGGCCGAGGAGTGTGGGTCGCCACCCAGCAGTCCCAGCGAGTCCTGGGCCTGCTCCAGAGCCCTGACCCCCTCCTCCTGCAGGCGGGCGCTACATCGAGGTGTTCAGGGAAAAGAGCGTCCCTGTGGCCAAGGGGCCCCTGAAGAACAGCGCCAAGCCCTGGCCAGGCCGGACCCTTGGGGAGAATGAAGAGGAGGAGGACCTGGCTGACTCCGGGAGGCTCTTCGTACGAAACCTGCCCTACACCAGCACCGAGGAGGACCTGGAGCAGCTCTTCTCCACGTTCGGTAGGGGCCCTGTCTCCAGCTCACTGTGTGCCCGCGGCACAGAGCGCGAGCAGACGGCCCGGGTTCAAGTGCCGTCCACTTCCCGTCGGCTCCCGACTGCAGGCAGATGGCTTCACCCCTCTAGTCTCTGCTCGTCCGTAGATGGGGCTAGTGACCCCCGAGCTGGGGTGAGCGTTCCCCTGCCACCGACACGGGACTTAGCAGGGCTCCTGGGAACAGGTGGCATCACAGGCATGGTGTGCCGTCGGAACCCACCCGCTCCCGCGCTCACTGAACCCAGGACAGACCAGCTTTGGAAGCGTTTTGCTGCACTTGCCCGCGCTGTCCAGACTCTTGCTGCTCAGCGTTTGAAGTCCAGTCACTGGCGGTGTGGATGTGACCTTGCTCCTTGGTCTGAGCTCTGCTGTCTGAGGCCTCGCTCTCCAGACCGAGTGTCCCAAGTGCATTTGACAGCAAGGGTCACAGCTGCCATGATTGCGGCTGCCATTATTTCTCAGACGGGAATTGGAAGGCCTGGGGTTCGGCTTAGCACGCAGGGCTGTGTGTGTGAGGGCCTGGCTACCGGAGGGGAGAAGTGAGGGTCTGAGATGGAGGGCGAGGCCTGGAGGCTTTGGGACCCCTCACTTCCGTTTGGAGCTGGCTGTGGGCTGTGAGGACCCGAGCTTGGCTGAGTGCCTGTTGTGGAGGCAGGGAGGCCCCGGGCAGGACCGCCAGCAGACACCGTGGTGTAGCCTCCCAGCCCACAGCCACTGCCCTGGTTTGCACAGCAGGGATCGGCAGGTGTCCATTCAGGAAAACAAAGACCAATAGGGCGCAGCCTGATGCTTAGGGTGGAAGCCGGTTCGGAAGGGCTGTACTTTGAGTGTAATGATCACATCACAGCAGAAGCCCCTAGGGTGCCAACTCGGGAGCAGGCGCCATTCAGCACAGTCCATGCGCCGACACCTTGGTGGATGTACTGACCGCTGCCCTGTGAGCTAGGAGCTCTTTGGTGCCATGTTACAGATGGGAAACAGGCGCGTGGGCCCTGGGGGTTTGCCCAGGGCCATACACATCCGAGTTGGAGGCAGGATCCAGCCCAGGCACCTGTACTTTTAGGGAAGACACGGGAAGGACTGTGATTCAAGGACTCTTAACCCTTGAGCTGGTCTCAGGCCATCCCCTTGCCACATGGTTTGTTGGGCCAAATGGCCGTGACTGACCTAGAACAGCAGCTCTTACGTGTTAAAACCCATCTCATGATGAGTGCCCAGCCCCAGCCCCTGAAATGCTAACGCGTCTGTCCTGCCTGCAGGTCCCCTGTCTGAGCTCCATTACCCCATTGACAGCCTAACCAAGAAACCCAAGGGCTTTGCCTTCGTCACCTTCATGTTCCCCGAGCACGCCGTGAAGGCCTATGCGGAAGTGGATGGGCAGGTGTTCCAGGTGACTGCGCGGGGCTGGCGGGGGGTGGCTGGGTGGTCGAGAAGGGATGTGTGTGCCCATACATTTCTAAGAAAATGCATGTGATGATGCGTGGACCCACCCCTTTGCCCAAGCCAGGGGCAGGTAGCTCCCTAAGGGCAGGGCCCTTCAGCACCGAGGACAGCGCCTGGCACACCTTACTTGCTCAGAGGCTTTATCACAGAATAGATCAGCTCTCTGTCCCCAGAAATACCTCTTGGAAGAGAAATAAGGAAAGAGAGTTTGGACTGGTCATATTAAATGGCCACGTTAGGGTGTAAGAAACTCCTTTCCTTTTTTCCAGCGTTACCACACAGTGTGCTTAGCACGCCTGCTCTAGCCCAGGCCGCCTCGAGCTCCCTTCCTCCTTTTTGCCCCACTTGTTCATTCCTTCGTGATTTATTGATCTCTCCAGCTAGACCTGGTTCCCACCGTGGGTGCCCTCACCTCTGTGTGCAGGGATGGGAGCGGCCCCAGGCTTGAGGGGGTGGGAGCTGCTGCAGGCATTTTATAGACTCGGTTTCCATTGTGAGGCTGTGTCAGAAGGCCTCCACCGGTGTCAGGTCCCCGAGTCACGTGGCCAGGCCCCCCACGTGGTTCTCCCGATGCCCTGTCCAGCCTCTGGGGGGATGGACTGGTGTCCTGAGGCAGGATGTGGACCCATCCTTTCCTTTCCTCTCTCCACCCTTCTCATCATCCCCCGCCTCCCAGGGTAGAATGCTCCACGTATTACCGTCCACCATCAAGAAGGAAGCTAGCGAGGACACTGATACCTCGGCGTCATCGTCTTATAAAAAGAAGAAAGAATCTAAAGATAAAGCCAACAGCTCCAGGTCCTTACCTGCCACCACCCTGTGGGCCCTGCCCCTCCAGCTGCCCGAGTGCTCTGGCCCCTTGGGATGGGTTCAGCCTCTCCATGACCTTGCCAAGCCCCACCTTCCTCATCTGTTTAATGGGGGGAATCTTAGCGGTGCCTTACTTTTTCAGCGTTGTAAGAATTAAGTGGGTTAATATGAGCAAAGCGCTTAATCCGTGGCACAGAATAAGTGCTTGTCAGATGTTAGGGAGTGTACAGTCCTTACTCATGTCTCCACGCCCTGGGTGAAGGGTGGGCAGCGAGCTTACTTCCCTGAGATTTTGCACCTGAGAAGATACTCCGCACGTTTAGCCTTGGTCTGACCTCCCCGTTCTGCCTCTGCCTTTCAGCTCTCACAACTGGAACGCGCTGTTCATGGGCCCGAACGCCGTGGCCGACGCCATTGCACAGAAATACAGTGCCACCAAGAGTCAAGTGTTTGACCACGTGAGTGGACATCCCATCCAACATGGCAGGATCTGGGCTGACCTCAGCGGGGTGAAGCAGCCGGGGCGGGGCTGTTGTGCGGGGGGCATGTCCAAGCCCCAGGCTGGAGTCGTGGGCACCCCTGCAGCCTCCTCAGGAAGTGTCCCCTCCGTGCTCCAAGCCTGCGTCTCCTGTGCTTGTGTGGAGCTTAGCCAGAGGCTGCAGTTGAAGGCCAGCACCCGGCTGTGTGGTCTCTTCACCATGACCCGGTGGCCTCGCACTCCGTCCGTCCCCCGTTCCAGACCAGGAAACAGGCCTAGGGACGCAGAACAGCTTGCCCAGGGCCACACACCTGGAGAAGCCTTGGAAAAAGTGACACCAGCCTGTCTGGGTCTGGTGCCCATCGCCGCCTCTGCGGGGCGTTGCTGCTCCCGTCTCATCCTTGAGATGAGGAAAAAGGAGTCATTGGTCCCTGTCCCCCTTCCTGTTGAAGTTGAGCCCAGTTCCTGCTCACTTTCTCTGCCCGTCTCCAGCACTCTCAGATCACACACCTTCTTTCAAATGCTCGTGTATGTGTGTGTGTAGTTACACGGGAGCGGAGTCTGACTGAGGCACAGCCTCCGAGCGTGTTTTCCAGCCGGTCAGCAAAAGGATGACCTGTGCTGTGAGCCCATAAGCCCATTGACCTGCTGTCACTTACTCCTGCCCACGCTTGAGGTCAGCCCTGTCCAGGAGAACAGGCTGTGCTCCCCAAGGGCACGTGCAGACATCCGGGTGGCTGGGTTTCTTAAAAAGCAAAAACAAACAGGCAAGGTTCGTTCTCGTAATCTGTTTTATTCAGTTCGGTGTAACCAAAGCGTAGCCGAGATGTCATTTCCACGTAACACGCGGTATAAAAGACAAGATTCTTTGGGTTTTTTTTCCCCTAAGTATTCAAAACCCAGCACCTGTTTTTTACTTAGCGCACTTTGTGACTCGCACGCACCACGGTGCGAGTGCTCAGTGGGCAGACGAGGCTCAGGGCCTCAACTGGCTGGGAGGCGCAGCACCAGCGCAGATCCCGCAGGCACCCCACACCGAAGGTCCTGCTGTTCCAGATCCTTCCGGAGGAGGAGGAGGACACGGACAGGTGCAGCCTGTCCGTGATGGCTATGAAGTTAAGCCGAGTAGGGGAGAGGGCATGCGAGTGAGGGTAGGCTGCTCACCAGAGTGACATCCAAGCAGAAATTGGACAGAATGAGGGAGTGAGGGGTAAGCGCCCCGCCGCAGAGGTCAGCGAGTGTGGAAGCCCCGAGGCGGGGATGGGTCGGCCTGCATGGCCGGAGTGCAGGGTGGGGCATGGAGCTAGAGGCGGGTGTGGGGTCTTGATTTCCTATGAGAGGCACAGAAGCCAGGGCCACAAATCACTGGGAGTGCATGCGGGGCAGTGGGAGGGCCCAGCCCCCTCCGGCCGCCTCCTCAGGCTGGTGGGAGATGGGACGGCTGACCTGTCCCCTGCTCCCTAGCTGACAGGGTCTCTTCCTTTCCTCCCTCCTGCAGGAGACCAAGGGCAGCGTGGCCGTGCGCGTGGCCCTAGGGGAGACCCAGCTCGTCCAGGAAGTACGGCGCTTCCTCCTCGACAACGGGGTCAGCCTGGACTCCTTCAGCCAGGTGGGTCCCGGCTGGGCGAGCCTCCAGCCACCAGGGAGCGGAGGGTGGGGTCAGGTCCAGTGTGCTGGCGGGTTCAGGGTCAGGGCTTTTCAAGGATTGGTATTAACCGTTAAGCGGTCTCCAAAGAAAAAAATTTCATGTGGGTTCAGACGAGGGACCCATCTGACTCACAGGGTGTCTCTTGGGGGTCGTGTGCAGGAGGACTCACGGCTTCTGCATCCAAATCAGAGGGGCCCCAAACAGCCTGTCCCCTGCCCGGTACCTTACTGAAAGCTCCTGTTATTTGGGGTGTGAGACCTTCCTTGGACCAGAGAGGATGCAGGTCAGCACTTGAACGTGCTTATTCTCCACCAAGTAGGAGTTTAGAGTAACAAGTGGTCGAGTCTTAGCGGGCATGCTGAGCAGGCCCCCTCACACCACCCCCCCCAACAAGACACCAAGGCCCAGAGAGGGGAGAGGGACCCAGAGGTCACAAAGTCTGCTTCTGACTCCCACACAGCGCTCTCGTCAGCTGTCCAGGCCTTCAGTTCTACCATACAAGGGCGGCTGGAAGGAAGGCTGCTGGCTGTGTCGAGCAGCTGTACTAACGGCTGACACTTAGCGGGACTGACCACAGCAGTCCTCTGCGTCTGTGTGTTATTGTTGGTGTGACTCAGGGGACAAGCCAGGAGAGCAGCGCTGCTGTGCTCCCATCGTGGTCCTTGGATGGGGGAACCACAGGCACAGAGAGGCCAAGTCACACGTTCTGGGTCACACAGCAAGTCAGGGTGGAGCTGGATGGGGATGCAGCCCCAAGGCCCGTGCCCCGAACCATTATCCCCTGCGGCCAGAGTTGTACCTGAAGTCCACTGGGGCGCAGCCCCTCCCACTGCAGATGGCTTCCCCCTCACCCGTCTTACTCAGTGAGGCCTAAAGGATGGGGGTGACCATTAGCTAGTCCATTTTGCAGATGAGAAAACAGGCCAGAGGGAAAGAACTGACCCAAGGTTTCCGGTTAGATTCGTGGCCAAGCTGAGACTCATGCTCAGAACTCCAAGTGCCTAGAGTTTTTCCATCATATCTCGGTTCTTTTATGCTCTTCCCATGTTGCCTTTCAAGATAGTAACCACCGACGTTTATGTAGCGCACATGAGGTGCGTAATTAAATCCGTCTTGCAGGGGTCCCGTGAAATGGGCGTTGCGTCCTTAACATTCTGTGGGGGCTGAAGCAGGGTCCAGTATGTCTCTCAGGGCTGTATAGCTAGTGTCTTAGTTTGGTTTTTCCCAAAAGCAGATTCTGAGACAGGTTCAAGTGCGTGTAGTTTACTGGGCAGCGCAGAAAACACTGGCGAACAAGGTCAAGGGAAAGGAGATCGGTGGGGGGAGGTGCTTATTACAGGAACTGCTGGTACAGCGAGGGGGCTGAGCTTCCTCTGGGGGAGAGCTGCACGGCTCGCACCTCACACTTGTCCTGCCCAGAGGGCAGGGGGCTGAACTCCTGAGAGCCGTAGGCTGCTCCGAGGGTGTTCGCTCCTCAGTCCTTCCCACCTGCCCCACGTGTGGTTTGTGCAGTTCCAGGAAAAGGCTCTCTGCACCGAGATGCACATCCTGGCCATTGGCAGGCTGGGCAGGAACACTCTGGAAGGTCCAGAGAGAGCTGTGGTCAGGCACTGTCAGAATCTGCCACGACTCAGAAGGGGAGGGGCTGAGATTTGATCTGGGCTCCCCGCCCATTCTCTCCCAAGAGCTGCCCCCTGGAGCAGTGTGCCCAAGAGAGTGAGGTCTGGGGGGCCTGTCCCCCAAGCGCCTGGCACTGCAAGTCACAAAGGGGTGCCTGGGGCAGAGCCAGCCACAGATGGGTGCCGGCGTCGGGCTGGGGGTTCTCCTGCCTATGGCCCCATGGGTGTTCCTTGCCTGCCCCTCAGGCCGCAGCCGAGCGAAGCAAGACTGTGATTCTGGTGAAGAACCTTCCGGCGGGCACACTGGCGGCCGAGCTGCAAGAGATCTTCGGCCGCTTCGGCAGCCTGGGCCGCGTGCTGCTGCCTGAGGGCGGCGTCACGGCCATCGTGGAGTTCCTGGAGCCGCTGGAGGCCCGCAGGGCCTTCCGACATCTGGCCTACTCCAAGGTAGGGGCCGAGGGGCCGTGTGCACGCCAGCTCTCTCCCGCGGGCTCGGAGTGTCATTCCAGCCCTGAGAACACCTCTGCGGGGGAGGACGCGAGAGGGACGCCCTAAACAGCCCCCAGAAAGCGTGGCCGTGGCTCCTTGCCTGAGTCTGGCTTTCCTTGGTTCCCTGTCCCCGTGTGAATCGGAACCGTCATTCTCGGGGCTTCTGGTTTCTCGTACTTGTGATGAGTTCCAAGTTGCTCCTGCGAGCGGCCTGTCTCCTGTGTCTGGTGAAGAGGAAACAGTCTTACGTGTACACGCACATCTGTCGTGGCGTGTTGGTTTCCTGTGGCTTCCGGTACAGGTGGCCGCAAACGCAGGGCCTTAAAGCAGCAGAACTGTACTGTCGCACCATCGTGGAGGCCAGGGGTCTGAAATCCGGTCGTCCCCGAGCCCTGCTCGCCCTGAGAGCACCCTTCCCTTCCCTGCCTCGGCCAGCCACTGGTGGCACCACGTGTCCCTTCACCCCCGGCCTCTGTCTTCACGTGGCCGCCTTCTCGTTCCCAGATCCACCTCTGCCTTTCTCTTAAGAGGACACTTGTCCTTGGATCCAGGGTCCACCCCAATGACTCAGATGCTCTCATGTCTAGATCCTTTACCTAAGTGATGTTCACAAAGACCCTTTTTCCAAATAAGGCCTCAGTCGCAGGTTCTGGGCTCTGGATGTGGACGTATCTTTGTAGGGGCGTCACACCATGCAGCCCGCCACGAGCAGCTTCTGTTTCCCCGGCACCGTAGCACCGCGCAGACTCTCTTGGTGTCCAGTGTTATCCTCTCTTTAAAGAGAAAACCTCTACGCGTGCACACATGTACACACATTGCCTGTGGTATCGGCTGCAGGGGTGGTGGCAGGGAGAGCACGGGGGTTTCTGACGGCCCTGATCCCCTTCATCCCGGAGAGCTGTGCTTTATCAGTGGTCTTCTTCCCTGTTCCACTGCCCTCCCTTCCCCGGTCAGAGAAGTCCCGAGGAGGCACAAACGTGTCCAGTGACCGCAGGCGCTCTCAGGGATCGGGGGCACAGAGGGCTCCAGGCTGTGCTGCGCCCTTTTAGCTCCGTTTTCCAGGGTGAGTTGCCCATAGTCTCTGAGCCCCTCCCGTGCCATCTCTGCAGTTCCACCACGTCCCCCTGTATCTGGAGTGGGCTCCGGTGGGCGTCTTCTCCAGCTCAGCCCCGCAGAAGGAACCCCGAGACCCACCGGCAGGCCCTGCAGAAGACGGCGCAGCGGAGCCAGAAGCCTGTAAGAGCCGAGATCGGGGTGCCCGGGGACAGCGGGCCGGTGGGGGTGGGGGAGGGGGGGGCCGCACTGAGGTTTATCAGATGTTTGCCATAAAGTTCTTTATTCATCCTAGAGACCAGTGCGTCGTGGACTCTTGGGATTTATAGGCACCTAAAATGTTCTTAAAAAGATAGAATGTAGAAGATATAAGCGTGGTATAAAGTAGTCAATGTTTCAGTGTGTCAGTTAAAGGTTGAAAAAGTCCCCTAGAATCTACAAGGGGCATTTAGAACAAAGCAGGTGAAAGCCTCGTTTTATGCATCTGCTAGGACACCTGGCCGGGAAGGGCGACCGCGGAGAGATACTTAGTCCCCAGGTCCTTAGAGCAGCATGGCGCCCCTGGCCACCAACCACGGAAAAGGGGGGCCCAACCCCAGCCAGTGCTTCACTTGTGGGGGTGGGGGCACCACTGGCACGAGACAACACGGTTCTTCCTTGTCGGGACCCTTGTGCAAATCGTGAGGCATTTTGTGTCCCCAGCTCTGCCCACTAAGTGTCAGGCGTGCCCCCAGTGCTCGCGACAACCCGAGACACCACCTGCACCCCCTGGGTGTTCCCCGGAGGCCCCCCAGGAGGGGAGAAGCACTCATGGGGACCAGGGCCACACTCAAGAATCGAGGGCCTTGGGAAGAGTTCTGAAGAGGACCAGTGGTCTCCTTACCCGGGGGTGGGGACGTTGCTCATTCATCATTCGTCAGAAAGGCTGTCTCACAGCAGAAACGGGCGAGCGGAGATCTCGGGTTAAAGAACAGTCGTTTAGTTGATGAGCGGTCACTGTCCTACCTGCCCCCCACTCTGCCCCCCATGCCAGTCTGCCTGCATTTGTCACGTCCTCATGAGTCCGTGAGTGAAGCCTTTTTCAGGGCCAGCCCCGTCAGCACACGGCACTCGGGAGCCACTGGGGTGGTATCTCTGTTCTGATCGGGAAGGGCCATTCCTCAGTCTCTGTGTTTGGAGGCTTTGGGTTCCTCCCTGGTCAGCAGGGATTACTGATTGTTGGTACAAAGAACCTTCCAAAACCCTGCCCCAGCCCCTGTGGCTGAGTTCGTTTTGTCCACACATTGGATGAGGGTTCCCTTCAAACCCTAACAGTGCGAGCAGGGGAGGGGCAGAGAGAGAGGGAGACAGAGAATCCGAAGCAGGCTCCAGGCTCTGAGCTGTCAGCACAGAACTCGACGCGGGGCTCGAACCCACAAACCGCGAGATCGTGACCTGAGCTGAAGTCAGACGCTCAACCGGCCGAGCCCCCTGGGCGCCCCAGTGATGTAGTCATGTTTTGTACCTAACGAGCCACCACCTCGAAAATCATCAGCTGCCTGAGTTCACTTGCTGACTCTGAACCTGACAGCTTTTGGCCATAGCGAGCCCTCCTTTCAAGCCTGCTTATTGCCAGGAGCGAGGGCCGCTTTCCTACCTGCTTGGCCAGACCACCGAGGCCGGCACCTCCCCGGTGACCGCTGCCACGAGGCCACGCTCATTTGCGTGTTTCCTGGCGCGGCCCTCCCTCCACTCAGGTCGCTCGTTTCATGCATCTTTTTCTTGTTGAATGTCCTTCTCTGACCGATGGCAAACCTGAGGGCAAGGCGGGGCCGTCTGACCCACTGCTGGCGGGCCCTGTGTCCTGTGAGCCCCTGGCCTAGACTGGTTCCGTGACTGTGTGGGTGGAGCGAATGGTGCACGAGGAAGGGTGTCTGCACCTCTGTCTGTGCCTGTGAAAGGTGGGGGTTGCTCATTCTGGTCTTTGTGTCCCAGGCCCCGGGCACGCAGTAGGAGCTTGTGTGTCCCAGGCCCCGGGCACGCAGTAGGAGCTTGTGTGTCCCAGGCCCCGGGTACGCAGTAGGAGCTTGTGTGTCCCAGGCCCCGGGCACGCAGTAGGAGCTTGTGTGTCCCAGGCCCCAGGCACGCAGTAGGAGCTTGGTGATGGATGGTTTGTTGACCGGTGTCAGTCTCACGTCAGAGCGGAAAGGAGATGGTACCATCCCTGATGGTACAGCTGCGAAAGGGACAGTTGTGGCTCCCGCCGTGGGGACCCATTGAAGCCAAGCCCACCCCACCCCACGAGCTGCTCCCTGTTTTGTTCTAACCCTTTCTCGCTTTCTGGAATTGCACCGTGTGTGGGTTCATTTCCTTGCTGGCTGTCGGACTTCCCTGTTCGCACGCCCATTCCACAGGGCAGCTACCTTGTCCACTGGCTCACCATGAACCTCAGCACCAGGACAGTGCCTGGCACCCAGTAGGAGAGCTGTGCGGGGTGAGTCTGCGGGCATTTACTCAATGCCGGGCCCTTCACTGAGTGCTTGGGTGCCTCTGTGTGCAGCACAGAGCTTCTAGGAATCGCTGTCTTCCTCGTCGTCCTCAGCCCTCCGTTTCTGCATCTGTAAAATGGGCATGACTCTCCCAACCTTGTGCGGCTTTGGGGAGAGTATAGTGAATCGCTGTTCCTCCTGAGTTCTTCCTGCCGCAGCAGAAGCCGGAGCAGGTGGCCTGTCATTCAGCTGAGCTGGCCTGACCCAGTGGGTGCAACACAGGCCCTCTTCCCCAGAGGAGGCCTGACGGGGGGCACAGATGGGGCTCTTAGGGGGCGGCTGAGGTGTCACACTAGCAGTAGCAGTGAGCCCCGCGTACGGAAGCTTTCTGGAGCTTCCCGAGTGGCGGCTTTGCCGGAATGCTGAGCCCCGGGCTGCTTCCCATGGCCTGTGTTGCCGTGTTGGGAGCCTCCCAGCCAGCCTCCCCCAGGCAGGCCTGCCTCCCAGGGCTGACGAGACATGCACAAAGGAGGCCACGGAGCCTGGCGGAGGGGCCCGGCAGCAGGCCCGCTTTCACACACAAAGCCGTGTGCGCCAGGACCGGGGTTAGGCCCCGCCGAGTGCCGCGCCACCAGGCGAATTCCCGCGGAGCTCACCTGCTGCGCCTATTTCTGCCCTTTCTGTTCCTTTTCTTCCACGCATCGCATCTGTGGCCCTCCTCCCGGCCCCCTGTGCGCTTCCTTTTCACCTGCTCCTCCCCCATGCTCGCCCGGGCCTCCACCCTGTTCCTGAAGCTTCCCTGTTCCCCATCCCCATTGCACGGGGACCAAGCCAGCCCCCAAGCCCTAGATTTTCTCAGGCTCCGAAGGAAGGGAGCAGAGAGGGGAGTGGACGAAGCCTTTATTTTTCCACCCCTCCTTCCTTTCTGCAGAGCCCTGCGTTCTCTGTACTGGCCTCGGGGGACGGGGGCGGTGTGTTTTATCTCTCCACAAGCAAGACCCTCACCTCCAGATAAAGGGCTCCGAGTCGGGGGAGGTCCTGAAAAGCTGCTTGCAACTGATAACAGTCGCTGCTGTCAGCCTTCGGCGCCCAGAGTTGGGCGGGGGGGGGCGAAGCCACAGTAAATTCTGCGGCCTGATTATAATAAAGCCCCATGTGGCGATGCGTGACTGCGTTTTATTGTGCTAACTACAGATGGAAGCACATTCCCCTGCCTGTCCCAGCCCCCTCCAGCCCACCTTGCTTTTAAATCTTTACCCCCCCCCCCCCCCCCCAAATGCACACCCCCACCCTCTGGCCCAGCCCGGGTTCCTTTCTTGCTTCTTTCCTCTTTTTTCCAGTTCCTGGTGATTTTGTTGGCAAACATCTGTTTGAGTTCCGCACTATCTCGTCTTTCCTCGTCTTTGTCTCCTCAGTCTGGCCGGGAGCACAAATGGTTTTTTAAAAAATGACCTTCAACTTCTCTGCCGCGGCACTCGGCCTCTAGATGTGGCCTCTGGACGTGGGCATGGGTCCCCACAGGGCCTGGCCTGGCCCCTCAGGGAGCAGGGGCCCTTCTCAGGGATGTGGCTGACAGGGACACTGTTGCCCAGGCTCCGAGCTGTGGCACAGGCCACAAGCCCTGCAGGGAGAGGGCTGGAGCGGACAGGAAGTGCTCTGAGGGGAGAACACTGAGCTGAGACCGGATGAGAAGCCAGGCCTGGAAAGACAAGACAGGAGCAGAACAGGCCGAGGGGACTGCATGTGCAAAGGCCCTGTGGTAGGGCTAGGTTTGGCAGGCTTAGGGATCAGAAAAGAGGCCAGTGCAGCTGGAGTGGGGGAGAGGGGACAAGGTAGGACACACCAGGTAGGACACACGGGGACCCACTGAGGAGGCTACTCAGTCCTCCAGACAAGACGCAACAGAGCCTTAGGCCAGAGAGCCTTTGTGTGGATGGAGCGGCGGACACTTGTGTTTCTGGACAACTCAGCAGAGTGCATGGGGGTGAGTGCACATTTAACTCCGTGTTCTAGAGGAGGCTGCTGACGGAATGGTCGAGCCAGGCACACAGGGCCACACCCCTAGTGCGTGGCACCACCGGGACTCTGGCCCAGCTCACTCATTCCTAGGGCCTGTGTTCTTTCCACGGCTCGGTGCTTCCCGACTAGGCTGTGGGCCCCCTTCTCGATCTTTCCAGGCCCCCCATTTTCAGCAGATCTCAAGATTGGCGCCCGCATCTTGTTGGATCTCCCAGCATCCTCGGGGCAGTTACCGGTGCAGGCGGGCGGTTGCTGGAGGCACAGAGGGGCTATGCTGTTGGAGAACGGCCACATTTCCTCACGTCTTCCGTCTCCAGCTGGGCACTTGGCCCAGATGTTGGGGGTCAGATGGAGGAGCCGGGGAGCCAGGCTGCTGCACACCCAGAGAGGAGATGGGTCCTGGGGGTGCCCGCCCCGACTGCAGGCTCAGCCCCTCTCTCACTAAACTCGGACGTCGCAGCTCCCACTGGGTCCCTCTGACCCTTTCCGCACCTCACTGAGGCAGAGCAGCCCCCTGTGGGGCAGGAGGCAGGATGGGGCGGGCTCTGGTCGTGCTCGGAGCCGTTGGGCCCCCCTGAGCTGCTCTGCTGGAAGGCTTTGCACGCCTGGGGCACCAGGATCCGGCTGGGCTCTGGGCCCTTAGGAGGGGCTGGCGGCCTGTGCACGGACCGGGTGCAGGGGCCGTGCACACCGGCCTATGAGCTGGTTGGTCAGCTGGTTGCTCGCTGCCTAGCACAGAAGCCACTGGCCCTCCATTTCGTTGCTAGATTGAAACACCACGGGTTTTTCTGTCAAAAGGTAGATTCTCAGCTTCTCTTGAAAGACGTGGACATGGGACCACACTGAGGTGACCTCCCGTGGCCGCAGTGGGCTGATATCAAGAAGGAGCCGCCCCTTGCACCGGCCACGAGCCTTGCTGGTCACTGCCATCCCCACCTCCATTTTCTCTCGAAAAAGGATTTCTTTAGTCTCCCATGAACCTCTCTCCCAGCCTGAAGGCCCCTAAGATTTAGGGTTCAGACGCAGCAGCCTCCAGCATTTTCACGGGCCGCCCACTTTTGTGGTGTGGCCGCCGTGGTCATTAATGAGCTAGTCCCCCCAGGGCATCGAGCCCAGCGCCTGCTGTGTGGTGGGGGGCGGGGGGGGGGTTGTCTAATCAGCCTGCCTTCACCCCTGCTTTTATCTCCGAGATGGCGCGTACAAGGAGAGCCAGCGGGGTGGAAATGTCATTCCCAGCGGAAGGCTGTGCTTCCCGCTTCCATTGAAGCTCTCGCTCGGAGCCTGACGCCTTAGCTCCTTGCACAGCTTTGCTTCCCCGTCATTAGCAACACTTTGTCCACCCTGCTCTGCTTTGAACAAACGTACGGTACAAATGGCCACACCATGGCGTCCCTTGTCGGGTAAATTGTGTGAGCCTCTTGGGTAGGGGAGGAGCCTTTGTGTTGCTCCCTCCTTTTGTGTCCTGGAGTGAGGGTCTGGGTTCTGGGTCCACCTCCGAGGGAGTGGGAGGGGCACAGGCTGCTCGTTCAAGTGATGTTAAACAGACGTTATCGCCGCCTCCTGTCCCCGTCGGGGCTTGAAGGGGTTGTTTTATGACAAAGTGGTGGAAGCTTAATTAGGACCTGCAGGCCTTAAGCTCACATCAGAAGGGGAAGGGGAGACAGACACGAGACAGTGTGGGTACTCGGCGTGAGAGCACAGGGGACGGACTTGAACCCCGAGGCGCTCGAACTGCCTGAGTGCAGGCGTGCGGAAGGAGAGGGCTGTGTCTGCAGCCTGGAGCCCCCACGCACAGCTGCCTCCCCGGGGCCCGGGCCGGGATCGGGTCTGTGTGGAAGCCGGGCCACCTGCCCAGAGCCACGCAGTGCCAGGGCGCCGTCTCATGACCGCTTCGAAGGGCCTGCGGGATGGGCTTCGGTCTCCCCAGGAAATTGCCCTGAGGAGGAGCCTCAGAGGCTTGTAGGCAGAGGTGGGATGTGACCCTAGACCCTGAGCACGTGACTCAGGGAGGTCGAACTGCACTGGACACGTTGCCTCCTGGCAGGACTTCTGAGAGGTCACCATGCTGTTCTCCGTGTCCTGAGGCTTCTGTCGCCCCGGTGACCCTGCGCTGCAGCCCCCCACCCCTGCCTGCCCAGCACAACCTCATGCATGCTCTTCCCTCCTCCTGAAATGCTGTTCCTCCCAGGTATGCGTGGCAGGAGGGCTGGGGGACGGAAACAGCAGCCCTCTGTGAGCCCGTCCCCAGAAACGCCCGGAGCACATCCTTGGCCCCTTCCAGCGCTGCCTCCCTGTGCATGTGCCCCAGACGCCGGGTGCACAGAACGAGGTCGGGGCTGCGCTGCTTACTGTTCCATAGCTCAGTGTCTCTCATGATTTTTATATCGTCAGCATTGTTATGTGTCATTACATGTTCTTTGCACACATCATTTTTTTTTATCATTTTTCTTTAATTTTTTATGTTTATTTCTGAGAGCAAGAGAGACAGAGTGCAAGCAGGGGAGGGGCAGAGAGAGAGGGAGACACAATGCAAAGCAGGCTCCAGGCTCTGAGCTGTCGGCACAGAGCCCTACGCGGGGCTCGAACCCACGAACCGTGAGATCATGACCTGAGCTGAAGTCCTACGCTTAACCGACTGAGCCACCCAGGCGCCCCTCAAACGTCAATTTTAATGAACATGTATCATCTCAACCTTTGGTGACACTGTTGCTAGTGTCCCATTTATGAGTTGGTTGGTTTGTTTCTTAAATTTTTCAGTGTTCGGTAACTCTGAATTTGTGTTGTCGTGTGAGGATGAGGCGTACTCAACGTGTACGGCTTCCCGAAGTTATGTATACTAGGAACTTTAATTCAACGCAGCATCTCTTAAGTTTGTGGGGATATTTAGAGGGCTGTAACTTTTGCTCCTATTATGTATTCTGTAATTTTTCCAAAAGCTTTTTGAGTCGTGTTTTAGTTTGAGAGCTTGCTTGGTGTCGTTTTGAGGTTTATGGTTCAGTAAAACAGCTCACACGGTAGTCTGTTTTGAAGTTTAAATTAGCATGAGTCAGTCCAAGACTCGGCCTTCTGGTCTGTGTTTTGTACTTCTTTCTTTTTATATTTTGTTTATTTGGAGAGAGAGAGAGAGAGCGCAAGCAGGGGAGGGGCAGAGAGCGGAAGAGAGAGAATCCCAAGCAGGCCCCGTACCGTCAGTGCAGAGCCCGACACGGGGCTCAGATTCACGAACCGTGTGATCATGGCCTGAGCTGAAATCACGAGTCAGACGCTCAACTAACCGAGCCATCCTGGTGCCCCGCCTTCTGTTTAAAACCGAGGCAGGACGCAGCACGGCCTCGCCCCTTCTGTGTCCTCCCCCAGAGCCCTAAGAGTTGCTAGAACCCAGCGCAAGCTGAGAATTGGGCCCTTTCCTGAGGCCGCCTATGCAGTGGCAGTTCTGATCTAGAAGGTTCTGTGCTTTAGGCCCCGGGGATTAGACATTTAATGGATTTCACATTTAATGCATTTGGTTTTTTTTGGGTGGGGACCCAGTGCCAGACAACAGGACCCCAGAAGGTGAAAAACCATCAGAGGGAGAAGCTGAGGTCGCTCCAGCCAAAGTGGAAGAGGAGGAGGAAGAGGAGGAGGAGGAGGAGGAGAGCCTCCCCGGGTGTACTCTGTTCATTAAAAACCTCAACTTCAGCACGACCGAGGAGACCCTGAAGGAGGTGAGTGATGGCTATGAACGGGGCGGGGGTCATGGGCCCGGGAGGCTGGGAGGCGGGTGCCCACGTTTGTCCTGCCTGTGCGCGTGGCTTGTGCTGGTGTGGGTTTAACAGCCCGCAGCCGCCCCCCTGATGGGCCTGTGGCCCTTCCCGCAGACCTCTCAGCAGGGGACCTGAGCGGGTGGGGGGGGGGGGACGGCTGGGAGGAAGGGGTCCCTGCAGGGCGGCCCGGAGGCAGTGAGGCTGCCACGGCAGGGACATCCCAGTCGGCATTAGCATTGCACGGTCAGGAAACGAAGCCCCTACCCCGGTAGTTTCCGGGGGGCTCACTGCCCCAAGGTGCACGTTAGTACCACCTCCTTGCCTGATGGGAGTGTGTGGAGACACAGGGATGTGTGAGGGGTGGTCCCGCCTGGACCCCTGGATGGGCTTTGGGCCTTGCGTTCCTCGGAGGGGCCCCCGGGCAAAAGGATGGGCATCTCCGAGTAGGTGTTCCTGGAATGGCAAGGGGGTCCTGCCCTGATTGGGGTTGGAGGTCCCTGAGAAGGAACGAGCCAGAGTTGAGGAAGTGAGGAAGTGGGGCCTCCAGTCCCAAAGGTCAGGGTCCGCCAGGTCCCCCACAGGTCTGGGAGCCGCTCTACAGGAGGACTCTCCGGTTCTGTGAACTGGGTTGGGCACTTTTTTTTTTAACTGCATCAATCAGTGACTATTAGCAGGCCGACAGCCATGATTGGTTCTGGGGGGGCCGGGGAAAGGACCGTAAGAGTTGAACTAACTGACTTCTAAACGTTCTTTTGAGTTCCGAGATTCCCCAGAGAGATTCAAGAGGGGAGAGGGCATCCACTGAGGCCCAGAGGTAGGAAGGTGGTGGCTGTGAGGGCAGGAGGCCGGCCTGCATCTGGAGGGAGAAACTGGGGTGTCTCCTCTTTGGGGGAGATGAGAGGTCAGACAGAGCCCCCACTCCAAGGCCGTGTGGCTGAGGCTCCGTGATGTGGCCGTTCTCCTGCCTGGTGGAAGGGCGGCCTCGGCCGAGGGGCTCCAGGCTGACGCAGCAGCTCCTTGGGGCAAAGATTCACCCTATTGATCTACTAGAAGCCCAGCTTTGGATCTTGCATGGGCCGCTCCTGAGGCTATTTTGGATGGGTGTGACTTTGCTTTAGCGGACACGCTCACACCAGTCACGACAGTCGCTGCGCACAGGGCTGCGTCGCTCACGGACTGTGTTTCACGCGCAGTCGGCAGCTCTCCCGGGCCTGGGACGGGAATGTCCCTGGGAATCGACTTTCCCAGCCTTCAGACTTAGACGCGTCCTCAGAACGCAGGACTCCGGGAGCGGGGCGCCCCGGCCACGGCCGTGCAGTCCAGGTTCCTCCCGTATAGATGCGAGGACTGAGTCCCCATCGTTCATGGCCCCAGGGCCACAAGCCCGTCAGGGGAGGCGCTGCCGGGAGCAGCGAGCTGCCCACAGGGCTCCCCTCACGTTGCCCAGAGTTAACGGGTCAGACAGCCTGGACGTGGATCCCGGCGCTAACGCTGCAACCCTGGCGAGACCTTCAGCCTGTCTGTGCCTCAGTTTCCCCATCTGTAAAACAGGGGTGTCAGGAGGACCGTCCTGCATGGTTGTTTTAGAGACCCGATTGGGACAAATGACCTCATCTGAGCGCCTGACGCTGGGATCAAGAGAGGCTGTAAATGTCTGCCCCTTAAGCACAATCTGGGCAGGAGCCCAGCCTCTCAGGGCCCGTGGTCACGCACGTGGCCTCCATCTTTCAAGTCGTGCCCGCGCTGGCTGCAGGATTGGCCGGGAAATGCCACTGATGCATGCTGACGTTCCTTTCCAGGTGTTTTCCAAGGTGGGAGTGGTGAAGACCTGCTCTGTTTCCAGGAAGAAGAACAAAGCAGGTATTCCTGATAACACCGTGGCCAGAAAAGAAGGTTCCAGAAGAACCTGTCGCTTTGGGTGGGGGGCAGGGTACCGCCGCTCTGCTGGTCCGAAGCGTCGTCCCCCCTCAGACTCCCAGCGTCCCGCCTGAAACGGGCCCTCCTCCCCTGTCCCGGGAGGCTCCCAGCGTCCTGTGGAGGCGGCTGTGCACATCAGGTTCTCTGCCGCCTTGGACTGGCCTGTGGTCTCAGCATTTGATGGGCCACCAGTGTGGACGCTGTCCAGTAGCGGGAGCCTCTCCCTCCTCCCAGAACCTCTGGGCTCTGGAAGTTTCCTAGGGAGTAGCAGGAAGAGGCCAATCTTGGCCTTTCCCTCTTTACTTCCAAGAGAAACAACTGAGACGTAGAACCTCTGGAACCTTCCACCAAGCCCGTAACCGCTCTCCCCCCGACCTATGGGTGCCTGTGCCTTGCGGACAGCAGCCTCGGGTGTTGTCTTGGGGCCCTTGTTCCCTGCTTGTCTCTTCTCCAGCCCTGGCTTCCTGCACGTGACGGACAGGCCACCCGTCCTTCCTTTTTCACAGCCATTCAGTCCCCATCCCTTCCGTTTGGCAGGATTTACAGGGACACTACATGAGTCAGGCAGAGCTATGACCTGAGACACCAATGAGCTGGGGGTATAGTGTAGGGGGATTGGGGGCTGGGGGACAGCAGCGGCGTCCGCACGTCAGCATGAGGCTGGCTGGGGGGTGCAGTGTAGGGGGCTGGGGGGCTGGGGGACAGCAGCGGCGTCCGCACGTCAGCGTGAGGCTGGCTGGGGGGGCAGTGGCGGCCCCTGGAACAGGTGTGCAGAGGAAGGAGGGGCCCCGCGCTGGGCCCCGTCCCCGAGTGTGTTGAGGACACAGATGCACTTAGAGAGGCAGGCCGGTCACAGGTTACAGGATGGAGGACTTTGTGCCCTGCAGAGGGGTCTGGGCTTTTCCCCCGAAGTGGTGGTGGGGGCATGGCAGGAAGGTTTTAAGCAGACACGTGGCACAGAAGCTAGGGAGCTGCGTGCATTCTGCTGGGGCCGCCGTACCAGGGTGCCATGAACGAGGGGGCTGCAGCGACACAAGTTCGTTATCTGCAGTTCCAGAGGCCGGAAGTCCAAGGTCGAGGTTTCAGCGGATTGGCTCCTCGTGGGGGCTGTGAAGGGAGAGTGCACTGCAGCTCTTCGTCCTTGGCCCATCAGTGGTGGTCTTCACGCTTCATGCTGCCCTTGCTTGAGTCTGCCCTGTGCCCAGATGTCCCCCTTCTGTGAGGGTTCCAGTCATACTGGGTGCGTCATTTTCAACTTGATCATTTCCGTAAAAGAGCCTTTCTCCAAATAAGGTCATGTTCTGAGATGCTGGGGCTTAGGATTTCAACATAGCAATTTGGGGGGACCCAGCTCAGACCGGGACATCCTGTCTCCAGAGCCGCAGGGCTTGGGTCATGAGAGAGGCAGCCAAGCACCAAGGAAGCGATGGGGTTTGGGACCAGAGGTGATCCCTGGTGTCGGGGCCGTGAGCGGGGCCGGCCGAGCTGCCCCCTGCTCTGCCCGGGGCTGTGTCCTCCGACACAGTGGAGCCTGCCCCACATTTGCCCCTCAGGAGCACTGTTGAACTTATGTTGGAAACAGGTGCCTGATCTCTCCGCGTTGTGAGCACCTCTGGCCACTCGCACTCGAGCACGTGTATTGGAGAGCCCTGCTCGTCGGGGCTCAGCCTCCACGGCTTGAGGGGACCCGGCGGCGTGTGCACCATTGAGGGCCGCAGGAGGTCACGGAAAGCACACTCGGTGGGCTGTCAGGGAGACATTTGTGATGACGGGGCCATAAATGCGGTGGTGAGGGCTGAGTGGAAGACCCCTGCGGGGATGTTGAGTCAGAGGCTGCAAGAACTGCCCCGAAGCAGGGAGTCTTGGGCGCGTGGGTGGCGCCTGTGCCCCCAACTCCTTCTCCTCCACCCGCCAGTCTCAGCTCAGAGTCTCTGCTCGCTAGACCCCCCAGGAAGCCGGAAGGTCAGGGAGCCCAGGGAGGGTGGCCCGTGGAGGTGAGCCTCCCAGGGCAGGGCAGGGCAGAGGGTGGGTCCGCACGACGTGGGGGATTGGGCCACGCTGGCCAGCAGCCCACAGCTTGGGCAGAGATTTGCTTCTGTGGCCCACAGAGCCACGTTTGGACAATTCACGGGGTTTCCTACTGCCCTGGGTCCTCATTCGCACGTGGCCACGAATGGAAACAGGCCGGCAGTGCACGCGGGAGACGCTCGGGTCTCATGAACAATACAGTGGGTGCAAAGAAGGGACTGTTGAGCGGCTAGAAGGTGGTGAATCTCCATCCTCATTTGGACCCATCAGATTTGAGCCAGTCCTCTGAGTTCAGTCGTGAAAAAATGAACATGTCTGTGTGACAGGCGAGGGAAGAGGCTGGTCCCATCTTGTGACCGAGGGCAAGACGGAATTAGATGCCCTGTAAAATCTCTCCCCCACCGCCCACGGTAAACAGAGGTACCTAACACGCATCTGTCTAAGGTCAGGAAGCAACATTTCCGATAAGGTTTTGAGCTCTCCCTGGCTCTCTGCACCCTTGCTCCTCACTACCTAGAAGTGGGGCACCAGATAGGTTTGAATAGTCCGGCCCCTGTCCCTGTCCGAACTTGGCATCTGAAACTCAGGACCAGCTGTGATCGGATGCTCAGAAATACCCGTAAGGAGTCAGCCTCTGGGGCCTCTGCCTTTCACGCGTATATTCGTCTTGTGCGTGGTGCGTGGAAGCAGGGGACTGCCCAGGTAGGCGCTGTGCAGTTTGTCACAGCGATGGTCATCCCTGTTCGTCCCTGCTCCCTCCCAAAGGCGGAATTCTATCACGAAGTTAATTATCATGTCAATCATCTGTTAATTAATAATCGGCTGGGCCTCAGGTGACGGCTCTATAACTTCGTTGGCTGATTCTTCAAGATAACTGGTAATAAATGGCTAGGCAGGAGCTGAAATCTTGGGAAGGAAGAGGGGTGTGAGGACGAGAGCAAAGAGTGAGCAGCCGGGGGTCTGCCGGAGCCTTTGCGTTTGGGTTCGCGCTCATTCTTCGCCTTCCTGCCCACCCACCTCATCTCTGTTTCTGCCCCTCCTATAGGAGAGTTGCTGTCCATGGGATTTGGGTTCGTGGAATACAGGAAGCCAGAGCAGGCCCAGAAAGCTCTCAAGCAACTCCAGGTAAGGTGGGGATTTGGGCTGAGGTCCATGGAGGCACTTGGGAGGTGGTGGTGATGGTGGTGGTGGTGGTGGGCTAGGGGGGCAGGGTGGGGATGGGGGGTCTGGCCCGTCAGCACTCCTGAAATTGAGCGGGAATGCAGGCACGTCTGTATTTTCTTGGGCCCCTCGCTTCCTCCAGTTCTCCAGGGCACCATGGCCCCAGAAAGATTAAGAACTTTTTTCAGCCCTCTGTGGTCACTGTGGTGCGTTCGTGAACCCACAGCTCTGTGCCAGGTCTCAGCGAGGCTGGCAGAGCAGATGTGTGAATAAATACACAAGACCAGGTCACGAGAAGCGCTTGGATGGAAATAAAGCAGGCATCGTGCTGGGCAGGGAGGGCTCCTCTACGTTGTGTGGTCAGGGAGGCCTCTCTGAGGAGGTCACCGTTGAGCCGATGACTAGTTGACAAGCAGGAGTCAGCTACATGAAGATCTAGAGGGAAAGCAGTCTAGGAGGGAGAAACCACGTGTGCAAAGGGCCTGAGGCAGGGACTCTGAGGTAGGAGTGAGTTTAGTGTGTTTGAGAGGCAGAAAGAAGCCACTGCAGCTGGAGGAGGTGGGGAGGGGGCGATGTGTGGACCCAGATGTTGTCAGCCTTTCAAGGACCGTGGAGGCCGGTGTAAAGGCAGTGAGATTCTGTCCGAAGGCCTGGAGCACACTGGGGAAGGGACTGCTTCATGTTTCTGGACAGGGTCCCCAGCTGCTGTGCAGAGAGCCGATCGCAGTGGGGCCGGTCAGAAACCACGGAGTCGCCCAGGCCGGAAAGGGCGTTGGCCTGGGCCGGGGTGGAGGCAGTGAAGGTGAGGACCAGGGGACTAAAGTCTCAGGTGTTAGCACATAGACTCCACATAGGACGGGGATCTCGCCCAGGATCAGATCAGGGCGCCTGGTGGCAGGAGGGGAGCTGAGCGCGGGCCGCTGCGGGGAGCCGCATGGCGTGGGGCTGGCTCCTCCCCCTAGGGAGGCAGGATGGCCTCTGCCTGAGACCGCACCCCCAGCACTCTGCCCTGATGCCCCACGTCCCAGGCCCTTTGGTGGCTGCGGGCAGGGAGCAGTGCCCTCCCACATACCTGCCCCTTTCTGCAGACCCGCTCGCTCCCCACCGTCTCTTGCTGACCCCTCATTCTGCAGGCTGAGTGCTCCCGGTCCTGCCTCTAGGTCAGGCTTCTAGAGCCAAGTCCCTGGAGGAGCTTCAGGGGGTCCAGGGACCCTTCTAAGCCATCATATTCAGAATGTCCTGTGTCTGGGTGCGCTGGCCTCGGGTCAGGCTGTGTGAAGGTGAAATAGAGCTGAATCGGGCCAAGTGTGCAGGGACCCGCACACCTGACCTTGGCTCTCGTTCTCACTGACAGGTGCCCCTGGGCCGGGCACGGCTGGGCTGTTCTCAGGGTGGAAAGGGTGCCCATATGGGGCCAACCCCTTGTCCCAGCAGAACTTCCTGTGCAGGGGAGAGGCCCTGGGAGTATAGGAAACGTAACCGGGCACTTAGCCCATATGATTGTTTTTGTAGATTTTTGATGACTTTGCCCTTGCTCGAGGCGGCTTCAGGAAGGGCTGAGCTGGGTTTGGTAGGAGATGGGGACGCTTCTGGGGCTTCTGCTGTCCTGGAAAGCTCTGCTATCTACCAGGGCTGCAGACCCAGACACCCTCAGGGGCCATGAGGCAGAGTAAGGGGAGGGGCAAGCATCCCCTAGAGCAAACGCTGCCCCCCCCCCCCCCCCCCCCCGCATGGGTCTGAAGGGCAGCCACGCCTTGGCTCCTGCCAGTTACTGCCTGGGGAGGGGTGGGGATCGAGGCAACACCAGGTCTCTGGTGTTTGATACGTTTGCTGTTTTTCAAAGACACACTGGAAGTCCGCCTTCGGCATCCGATGCTGTGGAGGCATTTAACTGGGGCTCAGCTCTGCACGCCCAGTGCTCTCTTCTCTGCCACCTCACGCAAGCTTCTGTCAAACTCCATCTTGCACGTGTTACGTCCCGTACCTCCCCGTGTGCGTGCGTACACGTGTGCATATTGCCACAAAGAATTGTTTACACAAAACTACTATCCCTGCCATATTTTATGGGAGACTTCAGGGATTTTCGAGGGTAATTTTGTTAATACGCCAGTTTTGCCTTAAGGACCCACGTGAGAGCCTAGCTCTCGCTGCAACTCCCCTATGGTTTAGAAAAAATTTTTTAAGCATGCAGTCTAGTCCAAACTGTCTGCAAGCCGGACCAGATGGGCTTACTCGGCCTGAAAACGCTTCCAAAGGATGGAAAATTCTGTGCTCCTTGAATGGTGGAAAGGTCGAGGCCCACGCACGGCTCACGAGGACACTGGAAGGCTGGGTCTCCGTGACCACCGGCTGCTGCCTGGGCTCGGCGTGAGCCATTTCCGGGAGAAGCTCTTCTCTGTCCTTGATTCCAGCTGGCCCCGCTTGTCCCCCGCTCTGAAGCTTCCTTTCCTCTCCGCCGACGCCGCCTCTGCTGGGGAGCAGTGGTGTGGGCGGGTATCTCTGGGAAGACAGAGTGATAGGCACTGTGGTCTTACCTCTTAGGGTCACGCCGTGGACGGCCACAAGCTGGAAGTGAGGATCTCGGAACGAGCCACCAAGTGAGTGTCCCGTGCCCCCTCTGTGCTCTCATCCGGGGTGGCCCTTTCTGCTCTGGCGCTGGGACCCCGGCAGGGGTGTCAGAGCCCCTTAACGTGTCCTCACCCCAACTTCTCACCACCTGGGCGCCTCATCCTGATCAAGGGGACGTCCTCTTTGGCAGCTCCGAGGCCTGTGTCTGTGATGGGCGGGCACCACCACTCCGGTCCTTTAAATGTTTGATGCACATTGATTGTAACAAAAGGAACGAGAGCAGGAGAGACCGGCACATCCTGCTCGTCCTGGTGTTATAAGTAACCCAGCAAAGAATGGCCTGTTGCTGGGGCTTTGGACGAACCATAGAAGCGATAAAACCTTGATGTCCAGTTTTATAGGGCTTTCCTTCCTGGAGCCGGACAGCGGAGCCCAGAGACGGCCTCCAGTTAATTTGAAAGAGATTCAGTAGGTGTTAGCGTTAGAGACAGACCTAATGGGCCGTATGCGGTCTGAGGCTACCATATGGGACAGCACAGTAAAAAGGGAAACATAAACAGTCTGTGATACGCGATCAGGTGGTGGCGAATGCCAGCATGGAAGACAAGGCCGGGGGTGGGGGAGGTGTTGCTGTTTTAGGGACGTTTAGGGAGGGCCTTTGGGGAGGTGATGTGGGCCAGGCCGGAAAGAGGTGAGTCAAAGCTGTCATCTCCATGACAGCAGCTGCCATTATTGAACGTGTAGCACACGGTGGGCACCAGGCGGTGTCTGACGGGCCCTTGAACAGCAGGACACTGTAGGCCTTATTTATTTATTTTTTTTTTAAATTTTTTTTTTTTAATGTTTTATTTATTTCTAGGAGAGAGAGACAGTGTGAGCAGGGGAGGGTCAGAGAGAGAGGGAGTCACAGACTGAAACAGGCTCCAGGCTCTGAGCTGGCAGTCAGCACAGAGCCTGACGCTGGGCCTGAACCCACGAACCGCGTGATCATGACCTAAGCGAAAGTCGGACGCTTAACCGACTAAGCCACCCAGGCGCCCCTGTAGGCCTTATTTTTAGGCCCACTCTGCACTTGGGGCAGCTGAGGCCCAGAGAGAGGCCAAGTTACTTGCTCAAGATCACTCATATCCTCTGCAGCCCACGTGGCTTCCACACCCTGATCGGTCTGTCCCCACTCATGACCCCACTTCCCACTTCGGATACAGTGGCAGGTTGCCCCAGGCGAGCAGGGCAGGGGTGAGGCAGAAGCGCATTAGAGACAGGAGCGTAGTAGCGACGGGCTCTGGATGGGTTTCCTCTCTCACCCCCAGCCCATTCCCAGGGCTAGAAACCGCTCCAGGCCCCTGGGCGGTGCTCCTCGGTGTACACTAGGGAGTCTTAGGTGAGACCTTTGGACCATCTGGGGTCTTTCCACATCTGGAAAGGGCCAGTAGAGGCCGGCTCTGGTGAGGAACTGCCCTCACCCTTCTCAGGGTTCCTCTCGCCAGTCCCTGATTGTCCCTGGGCCTCTCAGACAGCGAGCAGAAGAGACCCGAGGGCGGGTGTGCGGACCTGGCGTCCACAGCCGTCTGGAGGAGAAGATCACCCGGGGGAGACCGCCTTCCTCCCCCTTTATCTCTGCCTCGTCCTCAGCAACTCCTCGAACCCCTCACCTGCACAGAGGACCAGAGCATCAGCTCTTGGAGGCAGGGCGAGCCGGTCAGTGTAGGCCAGCAGCTGCCCACATCCCACATAACCGAGCCCTTTCCCCCAACCATCCAGGCCAGCGCCGACATCCGCTCGGAAGAAACAAGTGCCTGGAAAGCAGACGACCTCGAAGATTCTGGTGCGCAACATCCCGTTCCAGGCCGACAGGCGGGAGATCCGAGAGCTCTTCAGGTGAGAAGCGCGAGGGGCAGGGGGGCTGCCGGAGCCTTGGACGGCGGCCTGAGGGTCCTTGATGGCTCCGCCGTCGGCCGGCCCAGTGGTCTTGCAAAGGTCATCTTCTGGCTGCGTTTGATTTATTGCCCTTGAACCCTTGCACCGTGAGCACTGTGCCGAGAAAACTCGAAACAGCCAGACCTTCTCCAGAGGTAAGACAAAAAGAGGGGGGCTGACCCCCTCCGCCCCCACCCAGCCCGGGTGGCCAGGGCTCGGCATGGGTCTGAAATGCCTCCACCCCAGTCATTCCTCTGGTTTTAGCCACTGGTTCTCCGGCTCTGGCATTTTCCAGTCACCTGGTGGCTTTTATAAACATACCTGTGCTCTGTCCAGCCCGGTGGAGCTGGAGTCTGTTGGTCGGGGGCAGGGCCCACACATCGGTATTTTGATCCGAGCTCCTCAGGGGTCCTACTGCATAGCTAGAGTTGGGCCCCCCATCTATGTTGCTGTCTATGGGGGGAGGCCCGTTTTGAAAGAAGAATGAGTCCCCTGTGTAAACAGGGCGGTCCAGCAGCAGATGCCGGCACGGGGGCCCTGGGGGGCTGGGGGTGCTGACGGCTGGAAGGCAGGTCTCATCAGACCAGTCTCACTGTTTTGAAACAAAAACCGGCATTCTAGATTTTCAGGGGGAGTAAGTTGGCAACTAGTTGACTTTCAGAAATACAAACGGTGCAGGACAAAGTCTGCCTGTGGCCGGTTAGAGCCCAAGGGCCATGACTTCGCAGCCCCTGTGTTAATGCATTATCCCGTTCCGCGTTCCAGATTAGTCAGTTAGGTGCCACCCGGAACCGAGCCCTGGATCAGACGTCTTGATGAAAGGGCGGCCCAGGTGCTGGGTGGCCCAGAGAGGCAGACCCGCCCTCGGAATGGAATGGCCGATGGAAACAGGTCGCCGGGGCTCCCCGGCCTGCAGGACCCGGAGAGCTGTGTCCCTGTCAGAACGATCAGTCGGCATCGTACTAATTAGAACAACTTCCTGAAGTCAACTGTGGATGCAAAATCTAAATCCGATATTTTGGGGACTAGAAAGAATTACCTTTGTGTGAAATCTAGCTCTTTGCTCTCTCACTCGATTTAAAGAGTAGGGAACCACTTAAGGGATTTGTTTAAAACCTCCTTCTCACCTCCATCTTCCTCCTCACCTCCGTTCCAAGTCATACGCAGGGCGTGCCGTTCATCAGCAGACGTGGTTTGTTGGGGCTGGTGCGGGCGCGGTTTCGGAGGAGTTGAGTCTGAGCTGCGACCCCGGGTCCCCTGTGTGGCAGTGACAGCCTGGCCAGCTGGGGTCACAGCCTGGGGGGGGGCGGTGCTTTTCATTTTCCCGCCCCCGGGGGAGGTGAGTCAGGAGGAGTTCGTATCCTCAGCCCCGCGAGCCGCCTGTTTTCGCCGCTTCTGCTTTTTAAAGAGAGTCCAATTTAAGAACTGCCGGCTCAAAACAGGACTGCCGCAGACAGCACGTGTTGATCAGGAAATAGCGTCCCGCCGAAATGACCGTGCCGCTCGGGGCCGCGGCCTATTTGGGATGACACTTACCCAGGGAAACAAAAGACCGGGACGGGGAGGGAAGCGCGCTTTGTCTGATCTCTCGTTTTGTATTTATTTTGAGAAGACAGGGAATCAGCGTCCCCGGGATGTAATTACGCCGTGTCTCTTCCCCCTGCCATTGTTCGGATGGTAGCTTTCGTCAGCCCCTAGAAACGGAAAGCCGCTTTCCAGGGTTCCTCTTGCTTTGTTGTGCTCTCCGGCTGGGGGGGTGGGGGGGGGTGTTGAGGCCGTTCCCAGTGGTGCGCGGCAGGGGGCGCTGTGAGCCTTCTCAGGAGGGCCTCCGCTTGTCCTGGAAACCAGACCCGCTTTCAGACAAAGCCAGCGGCCGGCAAAGGTCAGAGCCAGGGGAGGGTTTCAGGGTTTAGCGGAACCAGTGTGGTCCGTTTTGCAGGCGGGTTTTGCAGGCTCGTCCTGCCGGGTGTGATCAGGGACCCCAGCTCCCTCTGACAGCGCACGCCGCGTGTTACGGGACCCCGGCTGCGCGTCTGTCCCGTGCAGTATCTCCTTTAAGCTGCATAGCTGCGGTGTGGACGGATTCAGTTCCCTGTTCTGCACTGGGAACCGCCGCTCTCTGGGCCTGTTGCCCTTCTCCTGGGTCTGGAAGGGTGCCGCCCCCTAGGTCATGTCAGTGGAACTGCTGTCCCGCCCGTGCGTTGCTGGTGGCAGCCGTGGGCCCAGGCATCGTCGTGCGTGCGGCAGTGAGCATAGGGCTGGGACGATGTGGCCAGGGCCTCGAGAGAGCCCGCCAGGGGGCAGCTCGCCCACTCCCCCAGGGCCCTTGCACATGAGCCGGGGCCCCTCTTGCCCGCACCCTTCCCGGAGGCCCCCAGCCGTGCAGTCGGGCCCCCTGCGCCACCCTGCCCGTGAGTCCAGCTGCACCGGCGGGGGGTGGGGGAAGGGCCGAGAGGCACTGCAGATCCCTCTCCCTGTGGGACGATTCAGGCTCGCCCGTTAGGAAAGTCAGAGTAGACACAGCAGGGTCCTCTCTGCCGCCTTTTGGGCCTCTGTTTCCCCTGGTGCAAAGTAACAGTGACACTGACCGTGGCGTCCGCTGTGATTTACGGCGATGATATAGTAAGAACGCGTTTGTCCTCACGAAGTATAGTTCCCCAGCCTGACCTCCGTGCCGGGTGCTGCTTTGCGTTATTACAGGTTTGGTTCCCGCAGCAGCCCGGCGGAGTAGCGCTGCCTCCGTTTCCCAGGGAGGAGCTCAGCTCCCCCGCCCCAGTTCCCACCACTGGGCCACGCAGGCCCAGCCCCTCCTGCACCACATGACCACCTGGTGGGCTGTCAGAAGGGTTAGATGAGCACATGCTTGTGGAGAGTTTAATACAGGGCCTGGCATGCAGTAGGTGGCTAATAAACTTAGCTCTGGTTATCACACTGCAGGAAACTGCGGGCGCCAGGCCTTGAGCCCAGGGCGGGCCTGACTCTCGACAGAGCGGGTGTCCTTGGCAGCACTGTGGATCCTTGACGGTCCTCTGCGGTGCTCTCTTACGGGTTTCCTCTGTTCCCTAAGTATGTCTTCCCGCCCTGTGGTCCTCTCCCCTCCAGCTGCTCCCGGGCCAGAGAGAGTCAGTACTAGGTGGGAGCGGGGGGACACTGGCCTCTCCACCCCGTAAAGGAAACAGGGGTGAAAGCAGCCCCGGCCTGCCCTGTGCTGTACGCCGCCTGGAGCCAGTATCCATTCCAGAGGAGGGTGTCCACGGGCTTCCCTTCCTGTCTGTGTAGGCTGAGGCAGGTGTGCGCGCTTTGCCCGCCTGTACTGCAAAGCCTGGATCCGAAGGCCCCTGGGACAGAGGGTGCTTCAGAGCACAGCCGCACAGAGAGGGCCCACCTGGGGCGGGCGCACAGGAACCCCAGCCTGACGCATAAGCACGCGTGCAGAGCCCCGGCATTTGATGGACAGGTCTTGTTCCCACCTGAGTTTCAAGTGACGGCGCTGAGTTAGCACCGATGCCTGGAGGACGAGACGGCCGACGCTCACGGCACTCAGGAGGCGTGGGGCACCCGGCTGGCCACAGCGCAGGCACCTGTGGTATCGGTGCATCTTCACCGGGCCCGACATGCCTCGGCTCTTGGACCCATTTCCTTGGTGAGGAGTCTGGGGCTCAGAGAGGCCCAGGGGCTGTTCCTAGTGGGACCTTGGCTTGTCTGTTTTTTTTGTAACCCCTGGGTGGCATTGGTTTCTGGGAGCAGTGATCTCCAGGAAGGAGGCTCTGCAAATAGGGCTGGCTTTGTGAGCGCGTGACCAGGTGGCCCTGTGGGGCCCCGTGCTTGGTTTAATGCTCTGCTGTTGCCACCGTGAAATTCTTAATGGTTGAACAGGAGGCCCCAGGTTTCCATTTCCACCGGACCCTGCAAATAACGAAGCCGGTCCTGCCGGGGAGCCAGCGGAGTGGTGCCTGGCATAAGCATTCGGTGCACGCTGGAACCTGCGGCTGGAAATAGGCCTTCAGCCCACCCTGCCACTGGCTCAGCCCGACCCCCCGCCAGCGCGGCGCAGCGTGGCCTGGCCTCTCGAAGCACCTGGCCCACCTCATGGCCCCCCTTGGAGTGCTGTCCGTGTGGATGTCCAGCGTCCCTTTCCGCCCCCCCCCCCCAGGCTGCAATCTAGGACACTGTGGTCGCTTCTGTGTCTCCAGGTCCCTGGTACATAGAGGGTGCTCAATAAATGTTTGCTGAGCACATAGATAGGTGTTTGCGAAGCACACAGGTCCAGCTGTGCAAAGCCTTCTTCTGTGGGATCCTGAGAAAGGGCATATGAGGCACAGAGAGGTTAGGAAATTTCCCGGGGGCCACACAGCTCTGCAGTCGCACCACCTGGTCTCGCTCACTTTGGAGCCCCACCCACCCCCTTGGAACTGTCCCCAAGGGTGGCAGCTGCTGGCTGAAATGCTGCCTCAGGTGGGCTGGGGCAGCAGCTGAGGTCTAAAGGGTCTAAAGGCGGAGAGAGCTTTTCATCGATCCTCTTTTTTTTTCTTTTCCCTGTTTTTTGGTTGTTTTGTACTCAGAGGTGTGAACCACCTGCGAGGGGTGTGAATGGGTGAGCTCCCGCAGGTGTCTGGAGGCCTTAATTACACAGTGTGCGCCTCCTGTCCCCACTGCACCTGGTGTGCCCGCTTTGTGGACAGTGTCTGTCGTCCCTGGCCTCTCTCCTCCTCATTTCCTCCCGCAGTGCCCATGACCGTGACTGTGGAGGGAGGGCTGCGGAACAGCGTGCCTGCCAAGTTCCCCAGCCCCCTCCCCCCTCGGCCCCCTCGCCCAGGGGCGGGGTCAGGGCCTGGCTGACTCCTGGTTGTCGGCAGTACTTTTCCAAGAGCAGGAAGCCAGGAGCCCTGTAGTCTGGTCTTCGCGGAGGCACTGGACCGCTAGGACCCCTTCCGGCTCACCAGGCTCCTGGGGGGGGGGGG